TCTTCAGCGAGTTCAGGAACGGCAGCTCACTGCGGGTACCATGCCAGACAGGATCTAAACCAAATGGATAAGTGTCCCGGGTCTTGATCAAACCAATTGTTGTAGCCTCGCTGAACGTAGAGCATAAGAAAAAGGGAAAAAAATCAGGACCGCAAAGTATTTTCCCGCTACTAATACTCCTTTTTATTTATATAAAGCAGAACTTTTACAACGAATATGCATACCTGCATGAGGCATCACGGCAATCATAGGCTGAGGGAGCAAATAATGGGTATGGAATAGAGAAGAACTCGTTGTAGATTAAACCAGTGTATATTGAGAAGAGTGACATCATCATAATGACATAACGACCACCAAAAGCCATTTCCATAATATCCCCAAGTTTCTGTTGTTAAGAAGCAACGATTGAAGAATTAGCATCTAATACTTGCAAGAGAAAACCATCATTAATGAATCAAAATGCATATTAAAAGCGACTATAATATGCTCTTAAGAATTCTCAACTGAGTTTCCTATAATTTCACATTTGGATGCAACTCCAAAAGGAAACAGACAGCTAAACTATCAGCAGATTCTCCTGCTGAGACAGAATTCAATCTCGTGCTAAGTCAAACATAGGTAACATCAATTGGGGTATCACCTGGCTGGCAAGTTTCTTTTCACGCACTATCAGGTACATAGTTGCAAGCAGCAAGCATATTCCATGCCCCCAATCACCAAACATAACAGCGAAAAGGAAGGGGAAGGTGACGATTGTGAATACAGCCGGATTAGCTTCCTGATACTTGGCAACACTGCAGAGTGGCGATTATGGAAGAATGATCAGAGGAAACTATATGCAGTCTACAACACATTTTCTTATAATAACCAAAAAGTTATTTCCTATGAGTCAGAAGATCCAGAAAGAGTGAAATACACTTACCCATATGCATCAACAATTTCCTGGATTGCAGAAGTAAATTTGTTTGTGCGGAAATAAGTTGGTGGCAACTCTTTGGTCCTCAGAACCTGAAATATTGATCCAACTTGCGAATTGGAGTCAACAGCAGCACGCTTTAATGCATCTTGAATCTGCATAAACAAATCTTATTTTACTTATTCTGAAATTATCAAAACCAGTAAACTCACTATCACGCAATATAACATTCTAAAATGCAATTCAGAGTGTAACAAAACGAATAACTCACTTCATTTGATGCAAAGACAGGACTCCATCCCTCGGCCACAAGGCACTTCTTAGTCACATCAAGACTAAGCATGTTCAAAGTATGGTAGATAGCTTTCTCTTTGCGAACCTGCAATTGGTAAAAATAAAGTTGACTTCAACTTGCATTAATTAGAAGAAACCTCTCAGCATTGATCTACACAGAATAATACCTTGAGGCACCATAGCTCATATTTATCTCCAATTGTATGCAACAAAATGTTACGGTGACCTAACCCAGCATCTATGGTGGTTTTAAGCTCAGTTAAACGGCCTGTAACCTGAAAGGTTGTGAAATGATTAAACATGGTTAGACAAATTCTGGTTTTACAGTATCATCATTATATGGGGTCTCATGGTGAAATTGCTAGACCACGATACACCATCACATGGATGCTAACCGACTTTCAAACTAGCATGCAGACAATTTCAGTACATCAAATCATCAGAGTATCAAAATATACTCAAACTTTTGTTATCATCTATAACTAATGTCCAAAGAAAGCATGCACAAAGAAAGAACATACAGGGAAGTAAATGATTTATCCCAAAACACTGAATGTATATATGATATATATATATATGTCCAAAAAATGGATTATTTACCGCAGTCCACACCAATCAGCAGGAAGGAACATTCACAAGATAGATAATACATACCTCAGTTATCATTTGAGCTTGTTTTCCCAGGTCCTCGCTGAAAGGATAGCGATTGGCCCCAAAAGCTTCACATATTTTAAGAATTTTGCTTTTTGCTCTTTCCCCGGAATAGAAGACAACAAAAACATTTTTTTCAGCCTGCAAATTTTTTTTTTAAGTAAATAAGTCAATTTTGAATTGAGACAGAGAAAAAAAAAGTAAATTTGTTATCCAAAGCGATCAGCATTCCAGATGTTGAACGAACTCGTGGCTCCGTAGATCGGAAAGATAAACCACATAGGCAGTTCTATATTTCAAGTATCTAGCACGTGCATATGAGAGAAGAAATTGCAAAAGGAATGAAAGCAACTGAACTCATATCTCAGTATAAGCGCTTGCTTCCAATGTCTCAGAAAAAATTCGAAAAGCAGCAGCATCTAACCTTCTCCCCAGAGTTGGGATCAATGACCGGCTCCTCAACGACAGTCTGTCGAATATAGACGTTGCCCCTAGTAGCACGGAATAGAATCCTCTCAAACACCATTGACTTTTCACGAGGCACTAATCCGGTGAGAAATCCAAGCTTTACTTGCTTTGACGGATCACTGGACTTCTCCTGTTTAAAAGGGAACTATGTTAACTGTTGGTGACTAAATAAGAAATTGCGAAAAAAAACTTGATTAGGAGAATAGCCGCATCTTTCATACTTCCTGCAACAAAGGAGACTCCAGCAGATCATCAGCCGCTTGTTGTGATTCTGTCTCTCTGTGTTGAGCCGTGGCATTTCTATGAGCAGAAGAAAAGAACTCACCAGCCTGAAAAAAATCACATTCAAATTAATATGGCATAGATAGTAGACGCCCATCCAGGGATTCAACCATAAAGACTTACAAACTGATAACTGCAATTTAAATTATCAAAACATGCTACTCCATTTCTTATCCAACTAAAAATCTACAAAACCCTGAACCAGGAAAATAGAAAACATATACCTTCTCAAGAACCAACTTGTACTCCATAAGTTCATTGTAGGATCGCTGCAACTTGTCATTGTTAGCATTGATTTCAACAAGTTCAGCTTCTAGCTCTTCAAGCTTTTCCTGAAAAGCCAGAAAGAATATATTAACAAACATATCCATGAAAATGAAAACACAGGTATCTTCATTATATACCTCAACATCATCCAAGTCAATGTCATTCTCTTTCCCTAACATCTCCGTGGGTAAAACCCCAGCTTTTGACATTTGATCCTTGAAGAAACGAATCTTCCTCGCCATCTCTCCACATCTTTTGATCTTTTAATCCATCAAAAAACAAAAGAATAATTACCACAACTGTTAAGATGTAACATTCAGTTACATAAACATGAGTTTATTTACCTGAGCTGCATAAGTACGTTGAAACGGACTCTTCTCCGAGTTAAGCTGAAATCAAAACATTAAATAAATGATTTAATAACAACAGAGAGTTATTCAACGCATTGACCAAAGATCTAAATCTCATAATCTCTTAAGATCTAAAAATCGCTAAAAGTCAAAATCATTTACAACGATCATCGAGAGAAAATGCAATAACATATATAGTCGTCAACGATCATCATCATCGATCGAGAGAGAGAGATAGAGAATTAGATTACGTACGTCTTTGAATTGGACGAGGCCGAGATCTCCGAGGTAAGAGACGGTGAGATGAGCAGATTCCATGGGAACAATGAGCTGAACAAGCTGCATCGGCTCTGAACGCATCAGATCCATCGGCGGACAACAACCACCACCGCCGCCGCCGCTTTCCGCCATCGATGATGATAACTTTGTTTCGTCGTTCGTCGATGAAGTCTTCTTATCTATTATTATTAGCCGAAACGAGAAATCGAAAATGTATGATGATGCTTGTCAGAGAGATGTGCAGAGCTGTAACTTATTTGATCCTCTCCCTCGTTAAGTAAATCCCGTAATTGCCCCTTCGTTAAATATTTTTTAGTGTTTTGGACTCTGACTGAAATCAAGCGGGCTTCTTGGTATGGGCTTAATAACATATGGGCTTGAGTCAAATCATGAAAGTGATGTTTTTTAGAATGGACCCATCTTGGCCCATTAGTGATAAATACTCAATTAAAGAGCTAGTGTTTTGTTTCCATCCATTGGTAATGAAAAAAGCCCAAAGAAACGATAAGAAATAAACACACTGAGATCTACGGAGTTTGAACGGACAGGATCGAAGGGAGCAATAAACATGTCAGAAGATGGTCCATGAACCCATTGTTCGCATTACGACAATGACGAATTAATACTGTCATCAATTCCTAAAAGTCGACGCCCATATAACTACACCGACTCAGAAGAAGAAAAATAATCATTAGTGTGGATAGAATATTAAACTTGGTTATAAAGTTAAACAGAGATCAGAAGTTACTATTACTAGTAAGTATCAACAGAGAGTTTGAGTAAGCTTTAGTAAATAATACTCCCTATGTTCCTAAATAATCCATGTTCTAGACTTTTCACAAATATTAAGAAAACTCATTTAATTTTTATTGTAAATGCATTGTTTTTTGTGAATAACAATTTTCCATAATTTTTAACCAATATAAACTCAATAAACACCATTAATTTTTTTGAAACTTACAATTTTTCATTAAATCATTCATTGAAAAGGTAAAAAATGCATCTTTTTGGAACAAATTTTTTTTCTATAATATACATCTTTTAGGAACAGAGGAGTAATATTTTCAATGAATTTGATTGTATCTACTCTATTAAAATAGAGTCATTCTTTTTATCTACTCATACAAGTTGTCATTTAAATTTGGACTCTTTCTAGAATGTTACAAATAACATAAGTCATATAATTGATTGAACCGTATTATTTAAATTAAATCAACACAATTAATGTAAACAGACGACCTTAATGTAAACTACCTTCAAAATATGGCAGATATCTATGTGTATACCGAAAACACATATTTTCTCCTACAAATATGGAATGTTCTGAAAGAATATATATCATCAAAATATGGAATATATAAATCTACTAATTATACTTAAATTAAACCAGTGGTTATTTATGGAATATAGTCTTGAGATTACTTTTATTTTCTGAACAAATTATATAGTTTGGTTTTTGTGCTTAGTGTTAAGAAAAAAACTCTAAAAACATTGAATAAATTTTTAACCTTAAAAGATCAAAAAGTCAATTATTATTTTCAGACCCAAAAGGTATTTAATATCTTTAACTAAACAAAATTATCTATTATTAATCATTTATTTAAATCTTGTACTTTAAAACATGTTAATGTATTTTTTATTTTAAATAACAATCACTTTGTTTTGATAAATTTCAATGGTAACTTTTAAATAATTTATTGTTTTATTTTTCTTAAATAATTTACTGATTAAAAAAAATGTAAAGCAAAACCAAATCTAAAAACTAAAATCCAAAAACAAAAGCTGAAAACACATGTTATATTTTTTTTCTTTGTTTATTTACAAAATAAACTATTTCAAATTTTTTTCTTTAAATTTGTTGTCATCTTTTCAGTTTTGAATTAGATGTTCGATTATTTGAGATTTGTTTGTTGGTAATATTAATTTAAACTAACTCAGTGGGTTTAAAAATTAAAAACCCAAACCAAAAACTGAAAATGAAAAGTAGAAATTTAAAAATTAAAAACCAAAATCTAAAATTAAAAACTGAAACTAAAAACTAATGAAAATAATCATCACCACAAATTTTGGTGAACTGAGTTTATATCAAAATATTCTTTAAACTAAGACAAAACCCAATTATATAATTTTTTAATCATAAAAAATTTCCGCGCTTTCAAGCGTGGGTCAAAATCTAGTTATAATTTAAAAGGGAAAGTAATTAGCAATACTATTGTACAAGGAGAATAATGTAGATGAATGATTAGATATTTGTTTTTCATTATATAGATATAAAACAAATTTGAAGTAAATGGAGTCCACTAATGAATGAATGATTGGTATCTCAATTAATTGGTAAAGGTCCCATCTATACTTATATTTAAAAATGGAATGTTTGAAAAGTGCACAAGGAACCTTTTCAAAAAGTCCAGTAGTACATCCATGTGATTTGAGATCTACAAATATTATAAAAAAATATCTATAATTCTTTAAGAGGATAACATAAAACATGAAAAATAAATATTCAGAAATTGTGAACTTTCTTTTGGGAAGCATCTCGCCGAACTATTAGACTAACAAGGTCTCACTGTGTCATCATCAGTATGACAAATAAGATGTGTAAACTAGATCGTTTTATATACGGAGTATAACCCAAATTTGACACAGTATGACGACTAATCAGACAAAAAAAATTAAAATCCTTACTGATAATATTGTTCTGAGCGCCGAGTTCACATTACGATTTTCGAAGCAACTTCGTTGACAACCAAAAAGAAAAAGTAAAGAGGGGAAATATTCGAGAGAGATCATACCATATCTTGGCTCTAAAAGTGTTTTTTGTCGTCTTCTACCTCTTAAATTATTTATTACCTAACTCTTTCCAAAGATCTGATCCACTATACCTATTTATATCAAAAATATTTAATGGGTTATTGTACAAACAAATCAATAATCATTAATCCGAATAACATTGCCGACATGACCGCAAATCCTTATATGTGTATGTTTGATTATTGTTTTTCTAATAATGAGCAAATTTTTTTTGAAGAAAGGCTTAATGATGAGCAAAGTTCATCCATTAATGGATGCATTAGGACTTAGGGTTCATGTCCTAATCTCAACCATAACTAGACCACTTTTACAACGATAGATAAGGAGTGAATTACGACTAAAGCATTGAATAATTTACGTTTTTAATAATGATGATAATATAACTACTAAGCTTTATGTTGTTTTTGTTTATTTTATCAAAAAATAAAACTACTAAGCTACAATAACTGTTGGAGTCGGATAGGTTGAAGTGTGGGTTGTGAAGATTAGAACTCGATTATCGTTTCAGTATGTAATTTTGTGATTCAACTAATCCACAATTAATGTATGTTACCAGAAAAAACTAATACACAATGTATAATAAAATAAAAGAGCGGCGATAAGTTATTAAAAATATAAAGGAAGTACATACACATGGATGATGGGAGACAAAAGCTGTCATGAAGAGCTGGCCTTTTGTCAAAATCCTCCACCATCTTCATTTATTTTAATGTAATTTAAATTTTTGTATATTTCTCCACAATTTTAAAATCATTTCAACTTATTAGATTAACTAGCATCTGACCAAAAAACGAATATATTAGACTAAAAAGATCGTATACACCTTCACATTTGCACTTTTTCTTTCATCAACAAGACCTACATGGTTCCCACATCGAGTCCTTTAACTGTTCCGGGGGAAAAATATAAAAGAAACTAAGTGAGCTTCTTTTGCACACAATAGTTTTATGTTTAAAGCAGCACTTTTGGAAAGCTACTTTACAACATTTTATCATTTACTATCAAAAAATTATAGTGGAGTAGTTTTTTTTAAAAAATTCGAAGATATACCACATATGAAAAAATCCAGCATAATCCTTAAAAGGAAAGTTCAATTCACGGATGGATTATCTCTTGAAATATTTAATTGAGATCTTAGACACTCTATATGTTTGTAATGTAGGCGACTGCTTCAAATCCAGATTGATTAGAACACTTCTAATGGAGGTTCTTCCGATTAGAGTTCTTAGTATTATATATATATATATATATATATATATATATATATATATATGTGTGTGTGTAAAAGTAATTGTGGATCCACAATTTTTGTGGTACCTCATAAGTAAATATTTTTAAAAGAAGGTTTTAAAATTTTTTAAGAACCCTTATTTATGGGATTCCACAATTATTTACACATATAATATATATATATATACATAATACATATATTAAGAACCCAATAGAAAGAATCCTCATCGGAGATCGGAAGTGTTCTTAGTTTCCAAAACTTTATCTACTGCTAAACCCTTTCCCCCCGTTTAAATTTATAAAATCATTTCGAAAATTATGGTTAATTGGTTATGTTGGCTAAATTCTTTCAGATGCCTTCAGTGTTTAATTAGAAATCCCCCATGACATTCATAATTACTTAATATTCTTTCTCTCCTTCCCAAAATTTTAGCTTTTTAAAAATTTTATTTAACTGTAGTATTTTGTTTCCCTAAATTAATATTGGAGTTGCTTATTTATTTTTACGTTTGTATTAAAAAAATTAGATGCTATTAATTTTATTTGATTTTTTTCAGTTTATTAAGTTTATTTGATTAATATTGTTTTCTAAACAAAACATATATAATTAATCTTTAAAAGCTGAAAACATTGTCTATGATGTCCTCAGGAAAAAAAAAAGTGATCATGGCACTGGTGTGATTATGCAGTAGTCCTCTTACAAACAATCTCATCTATAACAAATAGTTGAATAGAAGCACTTATATGAACACGGTACGAATTTCTCATAGATAGATAGGAATGTTATGCCCGCTTTAAGACACGTTTAAAACGAGAGTTTGGCAACTAAGCAAAATATTAATTCGTATCTTATTAGATAAAAGGGAATATCGCATAAAAAACCTCCAAGGTGGCTACCACTAGCACTTTAAACCTCGAGGGTATTTCACAAGCAGTTTAAACATCGAAGGTGGTTTATTTAGCATATAAAACCTTCAACTTGGCTATTTCCGTCGCACTGTTAGTTTCTTAAACGGAATAGTTAACCCCGTTAACAGCACAGTCGACTCCGTTATCGGAGCTTTATCCCTCCGTTTTCTTTAAAACTCTGTCGTTTTGAGAGAGCAAAAACGAGAGCAAAAACGACATCGTTTTTTATTTAAAGAATTTCACACGTGGGCCTTAAAACCTAAACTCGATTTGGGGAAAAAATTAGGGTTCTTCGTGTCGGAGAGAAACAGAGAGAGAGATCGAAACAGAGAGAGAGATCGGGACAGAAATGGAGATGTAAAGTGAGAGAAGCTGAAATCGAAGGAGATATCGAGAGAGAGAGAGACTGAAATTGAAGGAGACAGTGAGAGAGAGAGAGAAGATCCGAGAAGAACAGAAGATAACACGAAGAGAAGAACTTTGGTCGAGTCCAAATGAGGTAATAAGTTCAATCTGGTATACCTTTGGAGATGATATCGAGCTTGAATGGCTGTCTGAATTTTTTTTTTTTTTGATGCATTTACAGGTTCAAACAGACTTATAAAGTTAATATCCATTTTGGTGGGAATATGGTGAAGATGAATGATGGTAGTTACAACTATGTTGGTGAACTAGGATTTAAGCAGAAAATTTTGAAGAGTTATGAGCTAGGATGGGAGAATTTTGAAGCATTAATGTTGGAGGAGAAAATTATGGCACCAATTGCTCTGATTTGGTATAAACTTCCAGAAGAGGAGATGAAGGATTTGAAGTACGTATTTGATACGACCAGTGATGATATGGTTGAGCTACAAACCGCAGGAAAAGTATGTGGTGAAATCGATGTCTTTGTGGAGCATGAATGCTCATCTCACTCGCCAATAGCCACAGGTTTCATTGCAAGTAGCCAGCGAGAGGAAGAAACAGAGTACCAAGATCGAGATGCTGAGAATGATGGTGGATATGAGCCTGAAAAGGAAGCTGATAGTGATGAGGACGGTCTAGAGATGCCGAGAGAAGATGTTGAAGGTGAGCAATCCGAAGATGAAAACCCAGTAGCTGAAGAAGAAGTGGAGCAAGAAAACTTGAATGCAAATCAGAATGATGATGGAGATGATGTTGTGTTAGACGCAGGGGATGGGAGTAATGATTGTAGGTTTAAGAGAGTATTTGAAGAAGGCGCAAAGACATCTGCTGAGTGTATGGCTTCCCATATGAGAGCTAGCGAAGAAAATGGAGAAGAAGATAGGGAAGCAGCAGAAAGTGAGGAAGAAGATAGATTAGGGGATGTAAAATATCCGGATACACCAGTAGAATCAGAAGAGGAGTGGGATCAGTGGATGTGCAAAAAAAAGTCGAAAGGAAAATTCAAGTTTCATGGATCTTTCGATAAAGAACCCTACATCTGGCTGTTTCAGAAGTTCGATAGTGGACTACAGTTTAAGGATCAATTGCTTCGGTATTCTCTTAACACACAATATGATGTTAAGATGGCCAAGTCCGAAGCGAATAGAATAGCAGCTGTTTGTTGTGCTGAGAAATGTCCTTGGAGGGTTTTTTGTTCAATCGAAGTACCTATCAACAAATGGATGGTCAAAGTGTGTCACTACGAGCATAACCATGAGAAGACAAGCCGTGTCTTAATGCTAAAACAAGGTGTGATTGCAGGCCTATTCAGAGAAGAGATAAGAAGGAATGTTAGCCTGCAAGCATCAGAGATTAAAGACATCATAAAGGAAAAGTATCACATTGTTGTACCTCTTTCAAAGTGCTACAGAGGAAGAAAGATTGCACTTGATTCGATACTAGAAGCACAGGCGATACAGTTTGGAAAGCTATGGGATTATGAGGCTGAGCTACGAAGAACACATGAAGGTATCATCACAGAGCTTAACACTAACGATGTAAATGGTGTCCCTCAGTTTGACAGCTTCTACATATGTTTTCGAGAATTTCGCGAGACTTGGAAGAAATGTTGTAGACCAGTTATTGGATTAGACGGATGCTTCTTGAAGTGGGAATTGAATGGAGATTTACTCTCTGCTGTTGGTAGAGATGCCGATAATAGGATGTATCCCATCGCATGGGCAGTTGTTCAAGGAGAAAACAAAGACACTTGGGGATGGTTTATAAAGAGGCTGAAGGTGGACCTCGGCTTGGGATCAGGGGATAAATACACTGTTATTTCTGATAAGCAAAAGGGTCTTGTTATTGCAGTAGGAAAAGAGCTGCCTAATGCTGAACATAGGATGTGTGCTCGCCATATCTACGGTAATTGGAAGAAGTCATTCTCAAGGTCTGAGTACAAAAACTTATTTTGGGGCGTCGCTTACAGCTACAACACTGGTGAATATGATGAGAAGATGGCGATGGTTGAAGCATTTGATCCTGCAGCTCATGCTTCACTATTAAATACTGAGCCGGAAAAGTGGTGTAGAGCATACTTCTCTACTGACTCTCGATGCCATGATGTCCACAACAACTTATCAGAAAGCTTCAACAGGACAATAAAGATAGCAAGATCAAAGCCTGTTATTTGCTTGTTAGAAGATATTCGAAGACAAGCTATGAGGCGGATTTCGAGAAGATTTCTTAAAGCAGAGAGGTGTAATACCGTTCTAACACCAAGCACTATGGCGCTTTTAGAGAAATCAAGGGTTGATAACAAATATTGCTCCACAATAAGAAGTTCTTCCACTTTATATGAGGTGAAAGAGTTCGATCATGGCTACAAAGTTAGCCTTTCAACACACGAGTGTGCTTGTAGGCGGTGGGATCTAACAGGTTAGTGGTTTTTAAATGTTTTTTAGAAAATTAGTCTTGCTGGTTTATTGATTTGTGAAGTTTGATTGACAGGTATACCATGCAAGCATGCCATTTGTGTGCTTGATGACAATAGAGATGATCCTGTGAAATATGTGTCTGGGTATTACCACGCAAGTGTCATGAAAGAGACATATGCTGAGAATATTAAGCCGGTGAATGGTGAGAAGCTGTGGAAGAAGACATGGAAAACACCAGTGGGAATCCCAAATTTTCGAAAGCCAAGAGGTAGACCGAAGCTTCGTGACAGACGAAAGGAACCATTTGAGGATCTTCAAAACCCGGGAAAGGCGACAAGACATGGAAGAACCCTCCGTTGCAGCAATTGTTTACAAGTCGGACATATCAAAAGCGGTTGTAAGAATGAAAAAGTTGCAGTTGAAGGTCCAAAAAACAGAAGAGGACGCCCATGTAAAGCTCTAAGTGAGGTAAGTTGTTGTTCTATGCAAATGTATGTTCTATAATAATGGTTTAAGCTTTGAGTGTTTTTTTTTAGGTACCAAAACGACCAACAAAACCTAGGAAGAGGAGAACACCATCAAGTGTGAGCAGTTCGCAGCCAGTACCAGCTGCTGAATCAGCCTCTGAGTTTCCTGCAGCATCTAGTGCACCTGAACAAGCTAGCTCATCAGCTCCGCAAGTGAATAAAGCCAAACGTGGACGACCACTCAAAATAACAAAAACTGGTCCGATTCCAAGAGGTGTGGGAATACTCCAATGTCCATACACGGATCGAGTTTTCGAGGTCATAAACAACAGAGCTTATGATACATCAGTTCCTCCAGAACCACCGCAATAATCTCTCTATCTGAACTTATCTTATCTTATTATGCTTTTGAACTTAAACTTATCTTATGCTTTTGTATTGGTCCCCTTTTGCCTTTTGTATTTTATCTTGTTGCAACTATGCTAATGTACTTTCTCTTGTGAACATATATCTCTATGAAGTTATGTTTGTGTTGCCATCAAATTTAACAAAGCCAAACTAACAAATGTAACATAGATTGCATAACATTACAAAAGGTTCAACAACTAACACAGATAGATAGATAAACAAAAGCATCGTTTTACCAAATATATAAACCAAAACAGACTTCCACTGCCGAAATTAAAAACAACAACCCATCGACACCATCTTCATTCAAACTCTACTCTTTTCCCATCACAACCATGACTCCAAGAACCACAACAAATCCGAAGGTCGATGATATTAGCACATTTCGAAACACTCTGCTCCTCTCGCCTAGTATCAACACTTCACGCTTAAGTGCCTCACATTCTTCCCGACTCGCCTCACATTCTTCGCGACTGAACTTCAAGTCATCCATTACCGAGCTCGGAATCTCTTGTAGTCTTCCTCTGTAATGAGTCAGTGCCTTAACAGACTCCTTCAATCGATCAATCTCCTCTTTCTGGGCACGCATTTTGTCTCTCGCCTCCAACAATGCTAGATGTTGCCATCCATGTGGGCTCTCAACATCATACCAACGAAAAAAATTACAAGAATCATACCCATGATTAACCTTTCGTCCTTTGCAAGAATAGAATCTTCGTCCTGGGTTCTCATCTGTCCATGCTTGTACAACCCGTGCTAGCGTCTTGCAGTTACACAAAACCCCTTTCTCATTTTTGTATCCCATGTTTGAAGAGCTTGCACTCTGAGCCATCTGTTCAACAAAAGAGTGTTCAGACACCCAATTATAACTCGAAAATCTCATATCAGTTAAGTGGAACCATACCTGTTCTTGTCTTCTTCGATATCTCTCTCTGTTTCGATCTCTCTCTCTGTTTCTCTCCGACACGAAGAACCCTAATTTTTTCCCCAAATCGAGTTTAGGTTTTAAGGCCCACGTGTGAAATTCTTTAAATAAAAAACGATGTCGTTTTTGCTCTCGTTTTTGCTCTCTCAAAACGACAGGGTTTTAAAGAAAACGGAGGGATAAAGCTCCGATAACGGAGTCGACTGTACTGTTAACGGGGTTAACTATTCCGTTTAAGAAACTAACAGTGCGACGAAAATAGCCAAGTTGGAGGTTTTATATGCTAAATAAACCACCTTCGATGTTTAAACTGCTTGTGAAATACCCTCGAAGTTTAAAGTGCTAGTGGTAGCCACCTTGGAGGTTTTTTATGCGATATTCCCTTAGATAAAATAAAGCTTAAGTGACTTTAAGTCTCGCAACGTACTATTTACCCCTGCTTCCTTGTTTATGAAATCAAAAATTCAATGTAAAACGTGACTGTAGCCTATGAAATATCTAGTTCTTCGATGTTATGGTATTGAATTTCAAAATGGCGAAACTAAACTCAAACGTAAAACCAGGGAAGAGATAAAGAGACATGTTAACATATCTAATCCGTGTTTGGGGATAGTTCCATGTGACAATAATTATATGGGTGTATGTTCCTTGGAACTTAACGCACTTTGACATCCAGTAAGAAGTAATAAAAACATACAGTTGATGCAGTATTAGAAGGAAAGTTAAAAAAAAAAAATATAGAATATAAACCGGAAGAAACCGGGTGTGAAAGCAAATTAATGTGGGCAATTCAAAGCTAGGGAGAGGGTAGCTATCAAGAAAATGAGAGGAAGAGAGTAAAAAGAAAAAGACAAAGGAAACCTAAGCTGCTTATCTATAAAGCCAACACATTATTCTTACCCTTTTTGCCCACACTCATGCCCCATCATCATCATCTCTACATATACCATATTACATATACATTCACCCCACATGAATGTCTTTATAAATACTATTGTATAGTACTGGTCCAAAGGATCCAAGTTGAGAGAGAGATAGTGAATTCAGAGCCAATCTTGTGAAATCTAGAAAAACAAAATCTTTTCCAGAGAGGAAAGATAAAAACTCTTTTATTTTTATTTTTAAAAAGAGAGAGTGAATGATGAAGATTTGGTGTGATGTTTGTGACAAGGAAGAAGCTTCAGTGTTCTGTTGTGCAGATGAAGCAGCTCTCTGTAATGGTTGCGATCGCCATGTTCATTTCGCCAATAAGCTCGCCGGAAAACATATGCGTTTCTCTCTTACCTCTCCTACTTTCAAAGAAGCTCCTCTCTGTGATATATGCGGGGTACGAAAATATTCAAAACCCTATTTCTCTTAGTTTTCCATAAATATTTGTGGGCTTCTAGATGTGTTACTATTGAATATTTGATGAAACCATAAAACGTTAGGTCACTTTTTCCTTCTTCTTCTGATGAGTTTTGCTTGTTGGTTTGGTGAGAAGAATATGATTAGTTTTTCTTTACTTACCTATGAAAATTGGAAGACGATAAATATTGAGATTACCAAATTCTTGATAAATATTTTAGGTCACTAATCAGAAGTAGGCAATTAAATTAACGAATTGATTCCAGTTATTTACAATATATTAACTTACTTTCTTCTTTGGGAAGGTGAAGCCGTGAAGAGAAAGATATCTAAAAGAAAAAAAGTTGTTTTTCTTTAAATAAAAAACAATATCTTTTTGAAAAAGGTCGAGGGGATCAAATCTAGAAAATATATAGAATAATACATACTTTTTTAATAATTACAAAACAATAGTCGTTTTTGATTATCTACTATTATTAAATGGAATCAAATCTTTTATCCATATGACAGGAGAGGCGTGCATTATTATTTTGCCAAGAAGACAGAGCAATACTATGCAGAGAGTGTGACATTCCAATACACCAAGCTAATGAACACACTAAGAAACACAATAGATTCCTCCTTACCGGCGTCAAGATCTCTGCCTCTCCATCCGCATACCCGAAAGCCTCTAATTCCAACTCCACAGCTGCACTGAACCGAGCCAAAACCAGACCTAAATCGGTATCAGGTGAGGTCCCAAGCTCGGCCTCCAGTGAGGTCTTTGCGAGCTCTCCTTCCACAACTACAAGCAATTACTACTACGGGCTAGAGGAAAACTATCATCAAGTAAGCGACTCTGGTTCTGGATCGGGTGGTACGGGCAGTATATCAGAGTATTTGATGGAAACATTACCGGGTTGGAGAGTGGAGGATTTGCTTGAACATCCTTCTTGTGTCTCCTATGAGGATAACATTATGAGTACTAGTAACAATGATTCTTATATGGTTTACGATGGTTCTTCTTCACAGTACCAACATCAAGGGTTTTGGGAACAAAAACCTTTTTCCTGAGCCTTTTCATTTGATTGTTGGGAATTGAAATTACGAATCAAACCAACTTGTTCTTTCAGTTTTTTTTTCTACTCAAAATATATTTTTACTTTTTTTTGTAAGGAAGAATTCGTTGTCTTTGTCAACAAAAATTCGGATTTGGATTGACAACTTTGACTACCGTCCAACTATATTGGATCGTCAAGAATATAACAAGTGATGGGATCTGTGGAACAACCAAAGATGGAATACTCATGGGAATGGTCAAATTAGCCAACATCAAATGATTTATTTCTTTTTGATGCAATTAATGATCGACAACTGCAATGGGAATGCAATTTTGGTGATATGCAAAAGAGCCCTTTATACCAATTTTAGTGATAAATATAATCATATTATATTACATTCAAAAAGAGACGATGTTAAAACAATTCAAACCTGTTCTTTCATTAAAAAATATATAGCAACAGGCTTCACCCACACTTCTTGACACCTGCAAAATCATCCACCCTGATCAATATGTTTATAAAACCTAAACGGTGTCAAAATAAAGACCATGACCTAAACCAACCAGTAATGAATCCATACACTGAGCCTATTAGCTTAAATCGGTTAAACTCAGCTTCTAATTTCTTAAGAAAACCAAATCGAAACTCTGATGTACAATTGTGATAGAGAAACCAAACTCATCCGAACAAGATTTTTAGTTTTAGCTTGGTTTCGAAATTTTCTAAAAAAGCACCCAAAATAGAAAGTAACATAACTACATTTCGCATTCACATGCAAAAAGGTACCTTTGGTTGTCTTTGTCAAGACGGAAACGCAAAGAGACGATCAGAGATCTTTGAGCGGCAGATTGGGCATTCAGAGCACGCAAGGGAACATGATTTACATACTGTAAAATGAAACATCTTTTCATTAGTATTTGTTTGATATATTTTTACGAAAAAGAGTAAGCAGGTTTCATGAAGTTGTGACTAACAGCAGAAATGGCGGCAAGGGAGCAGAATTGCTGCCGTGGAAGACTCAAAACACACTTTGCAAATGTGAGAGTTCGCGTCTGCATTTGCTTGGGATTTCATCTCTTTCTCCTTCATTTCTTGCATCCGTGCCTGTTTAATTGTTACAGAATCATGTTTAATTCCATATGTGAAATAGTGTAGAAAGCTCATCACATTAGATTACCTTGAGACGAGCAACAAGAGGTTCCTCTTTTGGTGTCTCTTGGGCTTTAGCTACCACAACTAATTCAGGCTGTCTCGGTACATTAGCGACTTGTCTCTCTTTCAGAACCATGTTGCTTTGTTTCTTCTCCAATTCCCTTGCAGAGTCAGCGCCATTGACTTCAGACAATGCACCATTGTCTTTCTTCAACTTGGCAACAAGTACCCACATGTTTGCCAAATCGTTTTCCAAAGCTTCCTCTCTTCTCTTTGCTTCTTCTGCTTTTTTCCTGTATTCGTCTTCTATGAACTCTTTCTCTGCTAGTGCAGACTCAAGAGCCGCCTCTCGCTGTTTCCTTGCTTTCAACTCTATTTTCAGATCTTCGGGGTCGAGATTCCATGAGTCAAACTCATCACCACTTGACCTGGCTGAAGAGATCCTTCCCTTTCTTCCTGGCCTTACCCCATCGCTATACTTGCGATTATTAACTCCGTTTATTGGGTTACGCGTTTGAGCCAAGTCTCTTGCAGCTGCCAATTCTTTGCCTAGCTTTGTGTTTTGCAGTGAGAGTTTTGTTACTTCACTAGCCAGATTTTTCAGTTCAACAGCAGCAGCAGAGGCTAGTTCCTTAGCGTATGAAGCTTCTTCAGCTAGTTTTTGATTTTGTACTCGTAAACCACTGTTCTCTTCCACAATCTGGACATGTTCTAGCTTCAACTTTTCGTTCTCAGGCTCCTAATACAGAACGTAAAAACATCCATGCAAGAAGAAAAGGTACTGTAAGTATCAAGAGAAGATCCGATTGGGTATTGTCTATGTCTAGCCTGGAAGTATTTACTAGGATACTTATGAAAAATGAGAATGTATGTATGTTTGTAGATTTACCTGCGACTGTATCTTCCTTTTTAGTTCGTCTGCAAACTCTCCAGATACCCCATCATTGGAACAAGACGGTGATAATTTTTCACTAGATGCTGCACTCAAACGTTGCTCTAGAAGGTACACCTTGTCATGTAGCTCTTTGTTCTCGGTGCACTACATTGTCGGGCAAAGTGTGGTAAGAAGAATTTTTTTCAGAGAACAATGTTTAAAGGATGAGCAGATAGAAGTAAAAAGGATAAGAATTATGCACAATTTCGAAAGGAGGAAAACATGCTACCAACCTTTTTCTGTAGTTGTTCTTGGAGAATGCAATTATCTGCTGATTTGATCTGTGCCAGGGTAGAACCAAATTAGACAAATGGCTTTTGATTTGGCTACTGTAGTAAACATGGCGGTATTTTTAAAAGAAGAATAAATTTTTACCTCCAGCTCAAAGCTCTTCTCATGGCACTGGCTCATCAAACTCATAACTTTCTGAAAACAACAAAAGAACATGATATCGTAGCTGAAAGACGTTGATCCTTAAACCAGTGACCTTGAAAGATCATTTTAAGCTGTTCATTTTAGTGGAGGTAAAGTACCTGTTGCATCTCAACCAATGATGCATTGGCAATTGAAGCTTCACCACTCTCAGTTATGAGCTGTTCTAAGGCCCTCATTTGTCTTTGTTTTTCTTGAATCTCATGTTCCAGATTCTGTATCTGCATGCAACAATTTATTAGGTTCGTTATCTGAGCTAAAGGTAAAATAAGTCACTTCACGTAAACGGTCCAGTACTGTTTGAAAATCACAAAGCGTATCTATGAAACGGATCTTCAATGGCAGAGTACAGATATATCAGGACGTATCTTTACCTGAGTTTGTGAGTTTTCTGGATCATTTACGGACTGATCCACCAAACGCTTTAGTGTGCTTGTACTGAAAGCTATCTCACCAGCAAGCATCTTAACTTGTTCAGCCAGAAGGTCGATTTCATCTGGCGTCATTACACCCTACAAATTACCATAAGCCCACAACTATCAGATGCCATTTCTGACAATCAATACATACTTGGGCGGGTAGATAATTTACTCACTCGAGTAGATTCTGCCCCTGGCGAGGTTTCACCACTCAATTTGCTGGAAGATCTCCGGTGGTTGAAGCCTAAGGAAGGATTTGATACAAGAGCCAAGGTAGAAGATGGAGATCCCGGATTATCGTTATCCAAGAGCAGAGAAGCCAATTTCTGAAAAGCAAAAAAGCAACACAAAATGACTAATTGTGTGTTTAAAACAGCTTCTTAGATGAAGAGGCAACATGCAGCAGTAAAGGAACAGTTAGAATGATAATCTACTTGGTCTTGACCAAACAAAAGCAAAACTTATTCAGGTTAAATCAACAAAACCACCTATTTCCAGAACTGAAATTATTTACCACTCTAGAATGACGAGAATTTTTTTTATCATTTAGGTTGTTTCAGAAAACTTACATCGTCTTTGCCCGCAGAGAGACTGCGCTGGAGAGTGGGTACATCACCCAAATATCCAGGAATAGAATTCTTGGAAGAGACGAGTATGAGCTTGGTAAGCTTTTGGATTCTGCTCATTAGAGCTGCTTTGGCTTCTTCTTCTTCCTCCAATCTTGATTGCATTTTCACTTGACCTTCTTCTAACTGTTGATACATAAATAGGTAGTTCAGTAACTGCCTTTAGAACACAGCAAAATATATTCAGGATAACGGTGATCTAAGAGAAGTCGAACCTGTTGCTTTAAGCTCATCAACTCTTCATGACTGACACCAACAAGCATACCCTTTCTAAACTGATCAAGTTCTAGTTTGAGAACTGAGATCTCTCTTTGATATTTCTTAATAAGTGACTTCTCGTCTATAATCTGCTTTTAGGACATTAAAAATAAGCATTGAGCAAAGGTTGAAGATTGTACACTTCAGGATAGCATAGGCTAAGCATGTTAGAAGATCACCTGATTGCGTGAAGCATATATTTCTATACTCTTTGCTCTGCTGGCAAATTTCAATGTATTATGAGTTTCCTCATTGCTGCTTGACGCGGGAGTAATTGTACATATAAGCTTAAATAATAAGGAAAACAAAATACTGATCAGTTCTCTGTTGTTATTGTGGATTAGTTTCACCAGATACGGAAGATTCTTACCGAAACATGTCCATGGCCACTTAGTGATGATTGCAGAAGACGAGTTAGCTTAGAGTCACGATATGGAATGTGAGTCGCCTTACCCTCGCTAAGTTTTCCAATCACCTTCATAAATTAAACAACAAGAAATAATTAAAACGCCCTACCATCTCAAAGGTTTAAGTGACTAATAATGCTACTGTTGACAGACAAAAAAATACAAGGATGACATACTATTTATCAAAAAGCCAAACATAAAGAAACACTAGGACACTAGATCAATCAAAAAAGAAAGGAAATGATAATCCTAACTATATTCCCAGAGGAACTGCAAATAACTTCATGATTTTAATGCCACCAATGGGATGTGGAAGCTAATTGAACTGTTCCTATTAGCAAATCCAGCATTTTACAGTAACAATGCTTTCGATTGACATATCATCATTAAATATTAAGAACAGGTGGTAAAATGGTAGGATAGCCCAAACTAAGAAAAGACACCTACAGTTCCAAGAGTTAGAAGACTCTTGTTAATGTATGAACCTTCCTTCCTCCTCAATCCAGTTGTTTCAGTTTTGGAACTCTCAGATCCAGCCAAATCAATCAAATTCTAAACAAGAAAAAATATATAGTTAGAGCCCCTCTTGAAAAATAAATAATCTTATACACTAACTAAACGAAGAACACTTACGAGTTGAGAAAAAATAACTCCATCATATTCATCTCCAGAAGCACTACTTTCAATCATCTGCAACAGATACAAATTAGACTTAAAAAATGTAGTAAGGGCAATAAATTACGCTTTGACAAGTTTATGGAGCTTGAAGACATACCAGTGTAAATAAAGTGTGACTTCTGCTGCTCATCAAATTAAAATTATTTGAACCAACGTGGCGATGTTCTGCCATTTAAACAACAGCAATGATAAGGAGAGGAGGAATAAACAGAGTTCAGAAAACAAGACATTTTTCAGAGGTAGGTTTTTAAATTACCTTCACCAGCTGCGATGAAGGACAGTGCATGACCAGGAGACAACACAACTTCTTCCTTGATACCCTCGACATAAGTGCCCTACAAACAAATATTACATTTTGTACTTAACCAAACTGATTCATACAACAGGACGGATGCAATGTGAATAACTATTTAAGGGATTTCATATCCATATAGTGATTCGAAACTAATGTGTTCTTAATTATTCTATCCCAACCACAATGTTAAAAACTTGCAAGTGTGTGTGATAGAGAGCTGAAATAAATTAAGCATTCAATAGTTGTTAACCAAACCTGGGAATCCTCTCTAACTCGTAAATTTTGGCCTGTTGGATCCAGTAAATCATTTATCACCTGATACAATGACAGAGATCAGATAAAGTGTAGACAGATGAAACATACAAACACTCAAGTAAAAGCAAAACGGTGAAGCGTAATCACCCAAAATTATATAGACGTATTTAAGCAGTTTAGTTCCCAGTGATAAGGTATAAGAGCAGGAAAACAAATCCCAACTTAAAAGTTTACTTTTCAGGGATTAGCAAATCATATATCAATGATAGAGTCACAGCTAACCTCGTTGTATATTTCAAGATATGAAACACGGAGCAGGAACTCCCTTCCTGGAGTCTGAAATATAGTGAAGAACCCAATTAGGAAACATGAATTCATAGTAGAAAAAAGACGTGAAGACGACTTACATCCTGGATAATACTGAACACGTCTTTTATTGCTAGCGGTATGATCCCAGGAGATTCTTGATCACCCTATGCATAAAGAAACCAGTAGCAAAATGAAAACAATATCAGATATATGTTCTACTTGTTTGGACGGGAATTTCATATCCAACTGTTCATGCAGCTACTTAACTAAAGATAAGCACGGTTAGTATAAAGGAAGACCTTCAAATTCCATTTCACATGAATATTCCAAATTCACTTAACCATCAGCTACAAACAATTTATGCCAAGTGGGTCTATGTATGGTATAATTTGCTACTAAAATGTTACAGTAATCCATAATAATCAGCAGATATCGAGTAGCAAAAAAGAACCTGATTCAAAAGAGAGAAACGTATATAAAAGGGAAAGAAAAAGAAAACTCTTACATGCATTGTATGGGTCTTTCCACTACTTGTAACACCATAAGCAAACACAGTACCTATCAAACTCCCAAACACTGAGTCAGAATATTTTCTGTAAGCAATATTTGTTGAGATTTTGCAGATATGTGCCTTTACCGTTAACACCTTCCATTGCTGCCTTAACTACAGGTCTCGCAGCTACCTCATATACGTCCATAGTATTTGCTTGTGGTCCAAAAACTTTATCTGAACATTAACAAATTTTGAAAAAAAAAAATATTCACTCAGCCAAAAAAAATTTGCTATGATCTCCACAAACAATAATTAATATCCAAAATTAAAAAGTTGGAAGACAAATACCAAAAGCGTAAGCAGTGAGAGGATTATACTCGTGTCTAACCATCGTATCCCCATCAGGATACCAAGCAACCTCATCTCCTCTTTGATACTCTCTATCACTGCAAACAAAACCAAAAAAAAAAACACAAATCAATTTCAAAATTCCCAATAATTAACCACTCGAATTGCATCAGATCTATTTTTATACCTCAACGGTCGAAAACGAACGGTTACGGAGATACTATCCCTCTCAGAGCTAACAGTCTCCTCCATAGTAGGCTCACAGAGAAGCTCCTCCGACGGGTAAGGAACAGGCGAGACAGTTCCGAAGCTCCCGGAGCCGCCGATTAGCCCCGAGTCGGAGAAGGTGCGAGTAAGAGTCGTCATGGATCGGGAGTTTGAGTTGGTAAATGAAGAGGCGGAGGTGGAGGAAGAACGTGGGATGATGATACGGTTGCTGAGATGAGAAGAGGAGGTTGAAGAAGCGGGACTTGGTGGTCTACGGTTCGAAGCCATCCACGGTGAGAAGAATTAATTAATAGAAAAAAAATAGTTTCGAATGAAGATGGAGAGAATGTGTCAGTTGGAGCTCACATGGAATAAATCATTGTAACCTCCTTCTCTTCTCTCTCCTTTGGATTCGGTTTTTGTTGGTAGAGAGAGAAGGTGAGACTATAGAAGCGAGAGGGAGAGATTGTTTCGTCTTCTTTAAGCGAAGTAGCTGTAGAGAGAGAAAGGAAGACTGAGATTTCAGATTTTGAATTTTGTTACTTTCCAAATATACGGTTTTAATTAATTAATTAATTGCGGTGGTTGATAATAATTCAGGGACAATTCACGATATTTAAACATTAACTTTTGAAAAAATTACTGTATTGCTGCCGTGATATAATTGAAGTTCACCGTGTGGCTTAGTAGTGAAAAAAAGAGCGGACCAGTTTAAAAGTTTTTCAAGCCACGAGACGAGCGGGAATAACAATGGCGCAGTAATTTCCCCTTTTTACCCTTTCTTTTCTGCATATAATTTGACGAATTTGTGTCGGACATTCGATAATACTTCATTTTAATGAAAGCAAAACTTCAAAATGAGAATTTGAGGGTTAATTGTTCCAACTATAAAACTTCAAAAAATCTTTAAAAATTTACATTATTTATACTATAATCCTTGATATTAATAAAAATTAGAAAGAATGACAATATTTCACAAAAACATAAAAAACATACAATTAATATATTATAGAGCACAATAGAACAATATTATATGAAAAAAATAATATAAATTACATATATAATAAAATAACATACACACAGAAAAAATTTAGAAAATTACATATAAAATAGCATTTGTAAGATATGTAATATTTAAATATTTATATAATTTGCTTTAACTTATGTTAAGTTTGTTTAATGGTTTTTTATTTTTTATTAGTTTTATTTATGTATTTTAATATTTGTGTGGATTTACTTTTAATATTGTGTATTATTTATTTTATTTTATTTTATTTCGGTGTATTTAAGTTATTCTAAATAAGTTAGTAAAAATATTTATGAAATAAAATAATTGTAAATACAAAAAAGATAATGAATAGTAGTTTTGAGATTTTGAACAGTGAAACTTCAAATTTGAGGTGTCACTATTCAAAACCTCAAAATTTGAAGATTTGAGGTTCGGTTGGAATAACAAAAATCTCAAAATTTGAGGATTTGAGGTTGGGTTAGGGATGCTCTGACATACATGTACATGTGGTATTAAGCTATTGAATTCTTTTACAATCTGCAGAACATTAATTGATTTATTTTCATTTAATGTGCATGTAACGCTAATTGAAATACCAACAACAAACACATTTCAAAAATATTAAGATATAAACTATTATGATCCAAAACCAAGTTGTTTCGTTTCATTTGTTTTAGTAATTAAATTAAATCGAGTTTCTTTTGGTCGAGTATTCATTTTAGCTCGACATAGTGCTTGAGCAGTATTACTTTATGTGGAATCTTAAAATACTAGTTACTATCATATTCATTAACAATTATTATAAGAACAACGACGATATTTGGAGAGTTGTCTTGGCCTCTTGGGAACACGTAAGTTTGGATGATATTTCTGACCCCAACAATAACAATGTTTGGACTTAGATTTTGTAGGATTTTATCGAATCAATTTCTTATACGTGATAGTTACAGAGTGTCTGCTTCTCGAAGCTAAGTAGTTATCAATATCATGGCCCTCTCTCTCATGTTTTCAGCTTCATTGCGCAGCTGGCTCACGTGCATGCTTTTCCTTTCTCACGTGTCATGTGGTGTGATCTTTAAATTTCACTTACCATGTCGAAAAGGAATTCAAAATACGTGGTGATAGGATAAAGGAAAAGAAAAAGTAAACATGATGTTTAGTAGATTGCTAACTAAGAGTAGCACAAAACAAACTCATCATCTTCCTCTGGTTAGTGCTAGATGGAACTTATTGATAAGAGTCTCTGGAGAACTTGTTGGTAACTGATATATGTCTCCAAGGAAACCTCCTAGCTTCTTTCCTTTACAAGAATAAAACTCTTGTTAATTCCTCTATCCAAAGGTTGCCCAAGTTGCGATTTGGGCAAGGCTCTGATCAGATTAAGACCACAACGTTTTGAAAACACCCTACTTGCTTCATCAATCTTTAGTTTACTCACATTACATTTGTGATATTCATTTTTTTTTATTGCATTCGTTGTTTTACTTATTGAACATGGTTTTTGCTCTTTCTTGTAAGTTAATGAATAGAGAAACATGACACCAACCCCAAAGTATCACCAAAACCCACAAAAAGAATACACTAGAAAACCTCAATGACCTTAGTGGCAAGCACACGATCCCTTCTTTCGATATAGTCATAAGGAAACCAACCTGCTTTTCCTTTACATTCTCCTTCTGCCCACCCGCTACTCGTTACCTGGATCCGCCAAAAGAAAAGCTTTGTAAATGAGTCCTCAATATCATATATGTCCTAAACCATGAGAGAATGCTATACAATATGATATTGAGTAGAGATACTAACCTCTCTGATAACAACATAGTCTCCAACCGATAAGCTGAGCTCAATTTCTGAATCAGATTGATAAGGAAACATGACCTGCACCCCCCAAAAAAAGATCATAAGGCAAATCAAGAGATTAAGTAAATCTCTTTTTGAAAACAAAAAAAAAGTTGACTAACCTCTCCTAAGAAGTACCCCATGGCGTCGGATGTTCCATCATGCATCTGAGAAGCATTGACTCCATTACTAGCTTCTTCATATGAAGGAGGAGGAGGTGAAGATGTGATGTTCTCTACTTGTGGAGTTTGAGGCGCTTCTTCGATTCTTTGTTGCTCAAATCTCATCTATACAATTGTAACAATGTTTTTAACCAATGAAGAAAGCTGTGAGTGACCAATGGAGATATACTAATATACCTCTCCTTCTAGCCGTTCAATAATCTCAAGAATCTTTTGGTGATAACTACGCTCTGCTTCAACCTTTTTATTATCGTTACAAAAAAAACAAACACAGAGTAACTGATTCTGAAAACAAAACAACTCCTAAGTTATATTTGTGTGTGTTAGTACCAAAGTTATAAGCCGCTGGAGAGTTTGGTTTTGTTGTTGCTCTTCAACAGCAGCCATGGCAGAAGCTGCTTCCTTACCCAATATGGTCATACTTGATTTAAGATCTTGTAGTTTTGCTTCAGCATATTCCAACTTCATTACTAGTTCTGGATTACCAGGATTCTCTCTAACCTTAGCTTGTCGTTTTGATACTTCAATAGTCTAATAATGTAACTTCAATAAAAACATGTTAGTTAAAAAAAACACAAGAAGTTAAAAGAAGAGAGGCGCTGCATGATGAGTATAACCTGAGATTCAGCTTCTTGTCGCATCCGTTCATAGCGTTGTGCTAAGTGTCGAGCATCCACCAATGGAGCTCCCATGACCATTGCCCTTAATGGCTCAGCGACCTAATAACTTCATCATGCAAAACTTAGCTTTGATGCTTTTTGTTTTTAAATAAAGAAAGTGTTTCAGTTCAAGTGAAACGGTTCTGAAACCTGTGTGCCAAGAGCCTTCAAGAGATTTCCGCGCTCTTTCTCCATTTGAGCGCGAGCATTTGCGAAATTTAGTGAAGCTCCTGTTAGTGTGTCACCACTTGTACATGTATTTCCTGAACCATATCTCCTGCTGTCCTCACACAACTTTCTACCTATAAATATAATCAATACCGAAAAAATCAGGAAAAAAGATTTTATAAACCCTGAAAAATACAAATGTGAAGTGATGCATACACCACAAAGATTTTATAACCTATTTCGACTTGTTTGGATCCTGTAACGATGGATCCTTCAACACAACGAACAATGTCCCGTTGAAAATGCTGAGAAGAAGAAGTAGAAGTAAACTTCAGTTAAACAGTAGCAAGAGAAGTATAGTTCAAGCAGCAGAATTTTTTTAAGTTAAAAACCTTAGCAGAACGTGTTGAGATGTAAAGCTTCTCAAGTTTCTGATGCCTATGTAACTCTTCCTCGTCGGTTATTACAGTATCTGAACCTCCATAACCTCCTCCCCCAAACTGTCTTAGGACAGCCTTGAAACATCAAAAACAGAGAAACATCAACACACTTTGTAACATCTTTAACCCCCAAGACATATGGGTTATTACATAGTAACACAATTTTCATAAGGAAACAATGTTTAACTTTAATCAAAATGGATCATCTTCAACAAAACAATAATGAAAGAAATCATATAATTATAGACACAGACGTAACCATATCCTCAGATCAAGAACATGATCAATCCCAACTGAAAGCAAAAAAAAAAAAAAAAAGAGTGCAGAACATTCGATTTACCATACAACTAACAATGAGATTAGACTCTTATACAAATCGAAAGTGGATTTAGGGTTTTTATAATTCAATATAGAGGGAGTAGAGAACCTGTTGCTGTCTGGCCACTTGTTCTCTGAGCTTTGAAGCTTGTTTTCTGATTGCTTCCATTGTGTTTCTTCTTCTTCTTTCTCTACTAATCTCCTGATTTCCTCTGCTTTGAGAGAGAGAGAGAGAGAGAGAGAGATTGAAATCAATCTACTGTTTGGTATGGTGTCACATCTTTTTGACTATTATTTTAGTCAATTCTCAGTTTTTTTCCCCGTGTGTACAAAAACCTACTCTAGAATTTTTAATGTTACTTCTACATTCTGGTCTGCATTTTAAAGCGAATTTTGTTTTTAACAAATTTTTATGTTGAAAAAAAAATTGTTTTAAACTAAATTTCATTTTACAAAATTAAAAGTTGTTAACATTTTTATTTTATTGTATTTAAAAATATATAATTATATTATTTGTATTTATATTAAATATAAAAATATTATTTTAAGTTAAATTCAATTTTGTAAACTCATGGATAATATTATAAAAAATTCTGACTTTCTGTTATTCTAAGGGTCTGAATGGTATTATTAGCGTAAGTTAGAGTAAAAGAAAATGGTTGAAAAGAGTGAAATGCAAATGGTGAGATTGGGTGGAAAAAAAATAACAGTACTCTAGTTAAATGTAAAAATTTATCTCTATGTTTATCTCCATCTACTAAACAGTTAGCAGAGTAAAAGTAAAAAAATATATATTCCACCTGATTGGTAAGTTTGTGATGGGATTTAGAGTAAATTCAAGTGTTTGCATTTTTTGTATAGGTAGTAAATAGATATCATAATTTTCCCGAAGACAAGTCACATAAAATATAAAAATCAGTTTTAAGTAAAAAGAATTAGATAAATATCTTGTTACCTACTTACCTTAGTTGTGATAAATTTCCTTACTTGCATCTTTAAACCAATGGGTTACATAGTAGCACACTTTCCATAAAGCAATAGGTTTAACTTTGAGAAAATTACAGTACAAGTCACTTTTCTAGTTTATAATCTCTATAATATTATTTGAGAAGTCAGTTTCTTATGTGTCGTTTTCACGTTCATTCTCACGATGGTTGATTACATTGATACCCTTAATGAATTAAAAATAGTTGAAAATAGTATTATTAATTCTTTTATTTTTAGTTTTTCATTTTCAAAAATTTCCAACACGATATGTAATAAAAAGGCATTTTTTTATAAAGTCATAAAACAAATTTAAAACGAAAATATATGTATATATAATATGATTTCATAAAAATGGAAGTTGACAAAATAGTAATAATACATTTAAAAATATTAAATAACATAAAAATATGTATATATAATATAATTTCATAAAAAAGGAAAGTTCACAAAATAGTAATAATACATTTAAAAATATTTTTAAATAACATAAAATATGCTTTTAGAGTAATAAAATAGTTTATAATTAGGATTATATGATCGTAATTTTCATATTCTAAATCCTAAATAAAAAATGAAAAAAGTGTATTTGATAGTGATTTTCATCTTTAAATATAAGTAAAAATATTTATAAAATAGAAGGTTTTCCTTTTGTATATCCTAACAATGGGGAAATTATAAAAACTTATTTAAAGGTAATTTTATAAAAATAGTTTGATGAAAATATGAAATTAAAACTATTTATTATCAAAATAAAAAATTATGATGTTGTTGTCACTGGTCTATATATCTGTCTCATATAAAAACGAGACACATGTTTGATATATATATATATATATAAATATTTGTGTTAGGTCATAAAAATAGATTATTATTATTGCCACTATAAGTGATATTTATATGTGTTTGGTCAAAAGAAATCAAGCTTCATCATCATCTTATTACATTTTAGTTTTTACTATATGGTATGTTTTATAATTTCATTTTAAATTAAAATTCATTTTAAATTAAAATTCATTTTAAATTAATAAAATTATTTAAAATTGGATAAAAATTTTTATTATGACTAGAAAATGCGAAGCGAGTAATTTAAAAACAATAATAAACACACATAGAAAAAACTACAAATCTAAAACGGAACACCAATTTAGATATTTTCTTCAAGCAAAAATATCATAGCATTTAAGCTTAAATTTACTGATTATTGTTTAAGATTTAGTATTTTGGAGGTGGAATTGATTTTATAAAGTTATAAAAAGTTTTCAAATGATATATATGATACTCAATGTCATATATTTAAAATTAAATTTGAAGAACTTCTTAATTACCTTCAAAATTATGTTTTCTTCTGCCTTATTACAACATATGATAAAATTATTTATTTATTTATTTAAAAAGATTTATCACCATAAAAATAGCAAAACTATAATTAAGAACTTAACTTTTCTTATGAACAATTATTCACATAATTCAGATTCATAAATATGGTTTTCAACATGCATATAAATTTTAGTGACTTTAAGACTTATCACCACAAAAATATAGACATTTTTTCACAAAAATATAATTAAGAAGTTATGTTTTTATAAACAATTATTCACACAATTACGATTCATAAATATGGTCTTCAACATGCACATAAACTTTGTGGCTATAAAATGCATCTATGGTCTTCAACATGCACACAAAGAATCTTAAAACTATAACAAATAATTTATTATTTTTATGTTCTGTATGAAGTTAAACATCAAACAAAACCCGTACAATACACGGATCCATATCTAGTATCATATAATATTTAAATTTTTTAGTAACATCACTAAATTTTTATATGATTAGGATAATTAATGAGATCATCAGATGACGATCATATTCTACATCATTTTCATTTTAGCAAGATGATCATCTAAACAACATTCCTTGCTTGTGTTTGGACCTAATGGTCAGTTGGCTTTGGTCTTGATAGGGATTGAATCGAATGCTCCACTCCTAGGAAATGCCTGATATTCCCCGCTTAGTCTGGCTCGCACAAATGCTTGCCTTTCTTCTTCTTCGGCTTCTTTATCTATGAGCTTTCGGGCTCGGCAATGGATAGAGCAGTCGGAGTTAACGATGGTCTTCCCGAAGACGACAGTTGCCGTGATTGGGATAGCTAATTCCAACCTCTCCTCCATCACTAGGAGGATCACGGTGGCGATTCCGTTGATCGATCCTCTGTCCTTGATTCTCATTAGCTCGCAGATGGTGATGATGATATAGTAGCACGCGATCACAGATTCACAAACCATTCTAATTGGACGGAACCCTCTACGTGGTTTTAAATGCATGATAACCCACGCTTTGAGCACTTCCACACATGAAATGAGAAACATGTAGAAGTGCTCATGGTCCGCGAAGATGTTGGCAATGGTGGACGATATCGACGGTTTGAATGAAGACAATACAATGGCCAAAACCATAAGATATGTCATGGGGGAGCATGCGAACATGAGTACGAGGGAGAGATTCGAATTAGTAAGAATGTAGATAAATGACACAACTGACCAGATAGTAGTTTGAAGAAACAATATCTCTCTTCTGTTTAGAAATTTCGAATATATTTGCAACTCCTTGTCGAAGCTAGATGCACGAGCAAGAATAGTAGACATTTTGATAGCAAGAATAATATACATTTTCATAGTAAAAAACTTAAGAAGCAAAAATCATAGTTTAATAAGAATGGTGTGATATTGTTTATATAGACATAAGTTTTGAGAAAGCGTGAATTATCTACCCAAGGCCATCTAATAGCATGTGTAAGTGGAGTGGTCGAACAATGACTCAAATATAAAAATAAGAAAAAAATAAGAAAAAAATAAGAAGTATTAAGAAATATATAGATAAATTATGATAATTTTTTCTTAAAAAATAGATATATTGCTAAGTTAGAACTTATAATTTTTAAAGAAGCATCAAATATAATTATTAACTTTTAAAAAAAAAATAACTTAGAACTCAATACGGCGTCGTACTCCAACAATTCATCTTCCCTTCGGTCGATTCCGATATTTCAAAGCGAGGTTTCTTTTTTTTTTTTTGGACAAATCAAAGCGAGGTTTCTTATTCCTTCAGAACTAGGGTTTTCTCTGGGATTCTCGAATCGTTAAAAGGTCAGTCATTTTCAGTACTTAATTGAATTCTAATCACTGAATTGGATTGCACTCATTATAATTTCCGTCTTATTTACTTGCGTAGTTGACATTTATAGACCGTTGATCTTTGATTCCAATTCATTGATATAACCGATGCGTCTGCTTTTGCGATTTTGAGAAATTACGCATTTCACTTTCGTTAGTGAACTAAACAAAATAACTGTGTATGTGATGTTTTAACCCTCTCTCTCTCTCTCTCTCTCTATTGTGTCTTGAAATCTTTAAAGTGATTTTTGATGTGTTTTTTGTAGCCATGTCTGAACGACAAGACAGAGGAGAGGTTTCTCTTTCCGTCAAACACGAGGAAGAAGATGTTTCACCTGAATCTTTAGCTTGGGCTGATTCCTGCATCGTCAGCTTCCCTGATGATTCAGACAACAATGACTGGGGAACATTTAGAGATGCTTTAACAGAAATCATTGATATCCATCCACAGATTTTTGTTCCGACAGAAACAACAACAACAAGTGTCCGGTCTCGAGACGAGGTTATGTCTGAAGCTGAGTCAGTTCATGTCCCACAAGCTCCTGCTGCTGACAGTTCATCGAGTGAACAAGTCAGCGAGATTGTCTCGTTCCTCACCTTTGAATCAGACCCGTCCAAGAACTCTTTGCAAGATCATTACTTTCCGGTAGAGAACAGAACAGTCCATGTACCAGTAATGGACAATCATACCACAGGTATTGAAAGCATAGAAGAGGATGTTTCTGAAGAACCAGAGTCAGAAACGCCTCAAGTCTTTAAAGATGATTTCATGAGCAGCAGTTACGTTGAAGACACCAACGCCGACGAAGTTGATGTTTTGGAGGATTCGGTTAACTTTACTCCACAAGAGATTTTCAAGGTGTGGGATCTGAAGATCGTGGGAGACGATGATGGTGATGATGATGAGGAAGATGGGTTGGAGATACAAGTGAAGAAAGCACTCGATGAGTTCTCCACGGTCCTGCCACCTAATGATGTTGTTGTGGAGAAGAGTTATATCGATGATCTGATAAGTGGGATAACGGATCTGTCTCTCACAGAAACATTTGAGTGAGAGCAAAGATGAATTGAAAGTGTATTTGTTAATTTGACGTTAGTAACTTTCTTTTGTTTTTACAGCTCTACTTGACCAACAAAACCTTCTAGACAATACGGAAGGTTCTCTAAATGGTCCATTTGGTTGTTTCCACAACCCACCCACTTGGCCACCTGTTGATGAGATTGCTCTCTCTCTCTCTCTCTCGACCGTTGATGTAGTCTTCACAATCTCTGTACTTAAACCTCAGCCTTACGAAAACGCAGGGATTCACGTCCTCACAAAGGCTTTCTATCAAAACGTTACTTTCCGACGCCATCTTTGGCTCCAAACGCTAAAAGGGATTTTTAGTGAATTTTTCTTGTCTTCACAAAAGAACTATTTGCGTCTTTAAATCTTTAAAATGATTACTGACCTCATGATTATTGCTTCTCTTATCAAATCACCATTTTGTAAACTTATAAGCTGTTGCCACTAGTTCTAGTTGAACATGATGCGTTTGTTTTTTTACAAGCGACATATAATTCAAGAGAAAAAAGAGTAATAATTGAAATATTATGGTCCACGGTGCTACATATTAATTTCAGAGGCTTTTATACGTTTTTGTACAATGCCAATATGCTACTATTACACATTTTTTTCCTGTATAAACAAACAAAAAAACAAGCTAAAGAAGGGCATAAAAAGAGTATAAATTGATTCCATTGCAAGGACAAACAATAAAGAAAAAAACATACAAGATTGCATTCCACGTGGCGGAGTGTTATTGGTAAGATCACAAGAACCTCAAATAGCTGATCTGATGAGTAATATAAATCCAAGAGAGGGAGAGTGAGGTTGTGCTCCTCCTCAGAGATAAGGTGGTGTGTGTGTGTCATCATAAGATAATCTACTGTGTGTCTCTCAAACAAACCAAAGGCAGAGAGAAGAGTAAAGAGATAACACACCAACAAAACAAAAATGGCATCAACCTCACTCCTCAAGGCATCTCCAGTGTTGGACAAATCCGAGTGGGTCAAGGGCCAACGCGTTCTCTTCCGTCAGCCTTCTTCCGCCTCCCTCGTCCTCCCCAACCGTGCCACCTCCCTCACCGTCCGTGCCGCTTCTTCCTACGCCGATGAGCTTGTTAAGACAGCGGTAATTAGTACCCCTCCCTATCTTCTTTGCCACGTGTCTTAATTATCTGCATGATTTCTTATTAGTTTGGTGTTGTGAGCAGAAAACAATTGCGTCTCCGGGACGTGGAATCTTGGCCATGGACGAGTCGAACGCGACTTGCGGGAAGCGTTTGGACTCGATAGGGCTAGAGAACACTGAGGCAAACCGTCAAGCGTACAGGACATTGCTTGTCTCTGCACCAGGTCTTGGACAGTACATCTCTGGAGCAATCCTGTTCGAGGAGACTTTGTATCAGTCTACCACCGAAGGCAAGAAAATTGTCGACGTCCTCATCGAGCAGAACATTGTCCCTGGTATCAAAGTTGACAAGGTATGCATAACCAAATGCATACTATTAGATATATTATATTACCAACGTGGTGCTTGCTTAGAAGTTAGAGGAATCTAAACGAGTTGTATCTATGGAAATAGGGTTTGGTGCCACTTGTTGGATCTAACAATGAGTCATGGTGCCAAGGACTTGATGGTCTATCCTCTCGTACCGCTGCTTACTACCAACAGGGTGCTCGTTTCGCTAAATGGTACGAAAATTATAGTTTTTACACATTTTTAGCGATTACAATATCGAGAATAATCACACTTTAATACATAATAACTTTAAAAGAATTTTTTTTTTATCATATATAACAATTGTCTTAATTAATATGGGAAAAATGGTTAAAGAATATATAAAGTTATTGAAACACACAAAATTACAATTGTTGTAAAACAAATAAAAATCTTAAAACTAGGGAGTATAGAGTAGTACTCTCTGTTCCTATCCGACATGTATCCTCTGGGGGTGATTTTTTAGTTATTTTTTTTTGTGTTGATGGTTGATTAGGCGTACTGTGGTGAGCATTCCCAACGGTCCATCTGCTCTAGCTGTGAAAGAAGCTGCTTGGGGACTTGCTCGATACGCTGCCATTTCACAAGTATAATACCTTGCTTATGCTTCAAGAAACAGGTCAAATTGTATTATTTTAAGGTATTTCACACGCAGATTGTTTTTTTTTTTTTCTTTCTTTCTTTCAGGACAGTGGATTGGTTCCAATTGTGGAGCCAGAGATCTTGTTGGACGGAGAACACGACATTGACAGGACTTACGAAGTTGCTGAGAAGGTTTGGGCTGAGGTTTTCTTTTACCTTGCTCAGAACAATGTCATGTTTGAAGGTATTTTCTTTATATTGGAGCTTATCTTATACCACTTGCAGTGTTGTCTTAAGAATCAATATCTTCTACACAGGTATCCTCCTTAAGCCGAGCATGGTGACTCCAGGAGCCGAGTCTAAAGACAGAGCTACTCCTGAACAAGTTGCCGCCTACACCCTTAAGCTCCTCCACAACAGAATCCCTCCTGCCGTCCCTGGAATCATGGTAAGCTCTTTTTTTTTCTTTAATAACATCATGGAAAGCTCTATTTGATAGAAAATGAGTGTTTTTGTATTTATGAGGAAAACCTAGATCTTGGTTCCTTGTGGTGGAAGTTAAAGTTGTTTATGTTTTCTTTTTTTTGCAGTTCTTGTCCGGAGGACAGTCTGAGTTGGAGGCAACTTTGAACCTGAACGCCATGAACCAGGCACCAAACCCATGGCACGTGTCCTTCTCCTACGCACGTGCTCTGCAGAACACTTGTCTGAAGACATGGGGAGGCAGAGCTGAGAACGTGAACGCAGCTCAGACAGTGCTCTTGGCTCGTGCCAAGGCCAACTCTTTGGCTCAGCTTGGAAAGTACACCGGAGAAGGAGAGTCTGCAGATGCTAAGGAGGGTATGTTCGTCAAAGGCTACACCTATTGAAGAGATCATGATGCTGTGAAAGGAGACGAAACAAATGTTTTGACTGCATTTGTTTGAGTTTGGTTGTTATTATTATCCTGTTAAAATCATTTACTTTCTCTACTAAATTTGCATTAGCTACTCCTTTTAAATAAGCTTTAATATATTGAAGTTATCTATCTACAACAAATCTTGAGAAAAAGTATGCCTACACTTTCAATACAGAATAAAATTAGTCCACAAACACACAGGATCACAACCTTTGTGTCTGAGAAACACATCCCAAGGGAGGTTTTGGTTTTCAAGCAAACAATCATACAAAACTAGTAAGCACTATACTAACTATCTACCTCATTTGTATTAATCAGAGCAAAACCGCTGGTACACAATCCATAATGTGAAAGTTACCACCAAGCACAACCTCACACCACACAACATCACCCCAAATCTCACCTCCTTGACGTCTCTCCACCACAATCTCAGCACACCAAATACTCTCTTCCCTCTGCAAAAACAAAACCATTCTCCCACCACAGCCATAACTCACCGTTTTCGCCCGCAAACAACCCTCAGGCAACAATCTTTCCAAACCTCTCACCACACCCCAAGACCTCACCTTCGGATCATAACCTCTCAAACACTTCCCACAAGCATCATAATAATACAACACATCTTCCACCACACACGAACTAAACCACTCCCTAGAATGCAAAACCTCGTCTCTCTCCAAACTATCTCCCCTCGGATCATACACAAAGCTATCATAGCAAGTCCTCATGAAAATCTTACCTCCAAAAGCCACACTAGTCAACCATTTTTTCCCTTTCTCCCAATCTTGCCTCGTCTTAACCTCCCAAACCTTAGTCTTAATGTCAAACACCATCATATCTCTCGCTCCTCCAATCACATAAACCTTCCCGTTAATAACTTGTGCCACCGCGCCAGCCACCGCGTTTGGCATGTCAGCGAGAGGCTGAGCCGTGTGAGATCGACAATCGATGAGTGATACATGGAATCCGCTCATCGCGAAGATGTTGGAGCCGAAGGAGACGTAGCTTCCGTGTAGAGGCATAGGAGGGAGAGAGGAGATGTGAACCAACCGATGATCATCAGTTCCAGAGACTCGTTTCATGTTGCAAAGAGTGAACCAGTGGATGTAAGAGGTATTGTCTTTGGAGACTGCCACGTAGATGCATTGCTCTGCACGTTTTAGGATGGATCGTCTTGCGTAAAGCTCCGGTGAGGAGATGAGTGAGCGGAGACGCCTGGAGACTTGGGAGAGAGTCTGGTGGTGGATTCTTGGGACACGTGCGATGATATCGATGAAGATTTCTTCGGGGAGTGAGGAGATGGGAGATGGCGGCGGCTGCTCAGGGAGTTGCTTCTTCTGTGCCTTAAGTTCGGAAGACATCACACAATCGATGGAAGCTGGAGTGAAAACCGGTGAGGTTATTGGGAGGAAAGAGTACGGATTGAAGTTTTTCAAGATAACTTTGATATTGTTTCTTGGAGTAATTGCCTCAGGTGTCCTTATTTGAAATGTTTAAAGCTCAAATGTCCTCACATTTTTTTTTTAATTTTATTTGTGAAACAAAAAATTATAAAATTAAATTCAAAACCTCAATATTTTTTTATTTGATATATTAAATTTCATAAAAGTATTTCAAAAATCAAAAAAACTATTTTTTTATATTTTTTCGAAAATCATCAAAATATAAATAAAAACGATTTTAAATTGTTTTTTTTTCGAATTTGAAACATCTATATTAAAACTGAAGTACCTTTTAGTATTGTTTGGAAATAAGTATAGCAAAATAAATGAAACATTGTTTGGAAACATGGATAGTAGATTAAGTATTTTCTTTTATTTGTACATTTAGTCATTGTATTTACAATAAATTAAATACTTTCATTTTATATTTCTTTTTATTTACAAATTATGTCATTGCATTTAAAATCAGTTTAAGTTAATTAATTTCAATGATTTTTCTTTCTCTGAGATGAAAATAAAAACATAAACCGAAATATATAGTATACATTATATAAAATAATTTTTAAATATAATATTACCTTATTTAATTTAATCAAATATAAAATTGTGTGAGTTCAATTTAAAAAAATCATAAAATTAATGATAATTCATAGAAAACTAATTAAAAAAAAATTTAATATGTTATTTTATTTTAAAATAAATTAACAAAAAAACAACATGTTAGTATATGAATAGTATGATTACATTAAACTGCATCAAGTTATAAAATTTCTAATACACTACTATGTACAAATAAAAATTATTATTAAATATTTATATTATAAAATAACATATTTTACTTTATATGTAAATTACAAAACATAAAAAAAATTTGTAAAAAACCAACAATTTATGAATTTACGTTAAATACAAGTTAAATCAAACACCCGCACGGGGGTGCGGGTCAAGTTCTAGTATAGAACTTAAAGATTTACCCATGGGTTCACTGATCCATAAGGAGGAGTTTGTTTAGTTTTGATCAATTAGGAATAATTTATCTGAGCCATTGACTGTGTTTTTTTAGGATGGTTAACGCCTTAACGGTTACATTAGGATTGGATACACGGAGTTTCTTTGTAAAACCCTAGTGTCACTTGCCACATGTCAACAGTAGACTGGTCTAATGCATCTCAGGGGGTAGGTGGAAAAAATACATGTTCAAATCATTTGGTTAAAAGTTTTATCAACTCTAATGGTTTGGTTCGGTTCGGGTTAAGAGAATTGAAAAACTGAAGTAGCACTTCCAAACACAAGGAAGGAGCAACATATGAGTAGGTTTGACGCACGAGGAGCTACTGTTACTTCAAGCTTTTTAATTCTTTTGTTTCTATCCTCTACAAGGAGCTGATGACCACGTCCCTCGAAATAACTGAGGCGCTTAATACAATACCATGGCCATGCAAGCAAGCTGAAGAAACATGATCATGATGAAAGGATGAAACAGAACACTTGTCTGAAAACATGGGGAAGTAGAGCTGAGGACGTGAACGAAGCTTAGACTACTCTCTTTGGCTCGAGCCAGTGCCAATTTGTTGGCTCAGCTTGGAAAATACAAGGGAGGAGGTGAGTCTGAAGAGGCTAAGGAGAATATAGTCGTCAAAGGCTACACCTATTGAAGACAACAATGTTAAAGAAGAGATCATGATGCTGTGAAAGGAGACGAAGAAGCAAATGTTTTGATTGCATTTGTTTTGCGTTTGGTTTTATTATGTCAAATCATTTTCTATTATCTCCTTAAGCTGCATTAGCTACTCCTTTTAATAAGCTATAATATATTGAAGTTATCTATCTTTATCTATTTTATTCTTGAACCTTATTCTGTAGAAATATTTGTTGTTACATATCAACTCTCCATATGAATAGAGACACTATACACTGCTAAATTTTCATCATATAGTACTGCTCAGACATTTCTAAAATGTTACCATGGTTGCTTAAATACTGTTTCAAAATATATTTAACAATAAGAAAAACGAAATCCGAAAATAAATAATTTATTAAGAATTTCAGATTATATTAGCTTATACATATTCATGTAAGCCCCTTTCCTTTAAACTAAGATAATGCACAAAACAAGACAAGCCTTTCTTCTTTCTTCAACAACAAAGCTTCGCAAGCCCTGAAACAAATCATGGAATCAATCAAAGGAAAGGGAAAAGAGAACATAAAATCTTTTTATGATCTTCTTAAACTGATTCTCACTCTTACCTTTTCACTTCTCAGGCTCTCGCTTAAAGGGTACAACACCTACATGCTCGTGATTGTTCGTGTTATTTACATCGATACCCTGCTCACTCATTTAAGAAACAAAACATATTGAGATCACAAAAAAAAGATTTGAGATTTATATGTAGATAGATAAGAGAGATTAAAGTACTTGGTTATTTGATGATGGCTCATGTACTCTCTGCGGGTTAGCGTTTAGATCAATCATTTCGTCATCAGTCTTGCCATTAGCTTCACCGTTTGCACTTGCAGAGACTCTATGGTTTTGCATATTGTCTCTAGTATTGTTTGGTTTAGGCTTGTCCCCTGGAAACTACATGGAACACAAGATGACAACTAAATCAAGAAACTGACTCAAAATGAATGTGAAAGAAACAAAAACAGTTGATTAAATCAAAACCTCGATTCTCTGTCTGAGCAAAAGAAACCGGCCGTGCGTTCGCTTGCCACCAACATGTACTACCATGTCACATTGCAGACAAAGCGAACTACCGTCTATCTCACAGTAAAAGAAGGCTGCCGAAGAGAACCAAACAAAAAAAAGAATGAGATCGATGCGAAAACACTTGAAACATGAGTGTGACAAATTTAATGTAAAATAATTCATATACCAGGTGCATTTTCGCATATATCGCAGCAAGGGGCATTGCTTGGTTCGGCTAAACCTACACGTACATGCCGACTAGCTAGCTTATTGCACATATGTACCTGAAAAAGAAAAAACAAATAACATAGTTTGGAATCAAGTAAACCCATTTCAAGCAAATTCTAAAAGCTAATTAGAGCTATTACAAACAGGGCCGGCCCTGAAATTTTGGGGGCCTTAGGCGAATTTTAAAAAATTTCAGCTAAAAATTTTTTCTAACTAATTTGGGGGCCTAAAAAAATTTTTTTGGGGCCTTTATACATATTTTTTTGGGGCCTTTAAAAAAATTAACTAAGGACTCGAGAAGGACGGTAAAAGTGTTACCCATAAGAGTCATCTAACTGAAGTTACTGATTATTTATGTCTCCACAAGTTATGCTAAATATGCAAACTTTAGAGACAAACCCTTCCCTGCCAATGTACATCACAGAGTACAATCACTAAGCAGTAAGTACTTTAAACCTCATCATGTAATAAATAGAACACCAAATGAGAAACAATCTTAAAGATTTAATATTTTCAGGTTTTCACTATCCATTCTTTTAGTCTGGTTAACAATCTAAGGAACAAATCTCACAGACTATTTTTCAGAACAAAGTTGTCTTAACAAAAACCTTAATCAGAGTCGCACTAATCAATACACAAAATCTCGAGATCAGTTGAGAAACAAAGGATGATCCCATGCCTAAAGATAACAAAGACTCCATCTTTCACGAACCCATCAGAGAGCACTCACTATCAATACACACACAAAAAAAAAAGCTTTTCAAAAAGAGAATCACTTACTTTTTCATCGCAGGAGCGGCAAAGGGCAGCTTCATCGGCGGCGCAAAAGACGATAGCGGCTGCGTTCTCGCACGCATCACACAAAATCCGCATCTTTAGTCGTTTTTTATCGCTCTACAAGGAACAATGATGAATCACACCTTCAATACAGAGCACAGGTTGCGATTGATAGAGATGTAGTGGTCTGATTAGTTAAGGAAGAAGTAGATTAAGTGTTGGGATTACACGGATAAAATCAAGGAAGAGGAAGAAGAAGAAAATGGAGCAGAAAAAGAGAGAAAGTTTTATGATTATTATATCACCTCCTTTTATATCTTTACTACGATGGAGGAGGAGGAGGACAAGCTTGAGAGACCAGAAGATAAACTAAATCCCACGCGCCTGAGACTATCAGTTATGTCTGCCTACTCGCTGTTACAACTTACTACTTTTGGTAATTTCTCAAGTTTTACATAATTATAAAAAAAATAGTAAGAGCATAACAAGAAATGTAGTTGTATGGTTTAGGTGAAAACAAAGTAATATCTTTATGTATATGATGGTATTGCGATTGTAATAGTGTTTCGTTAAAAGTCAGTTTAGAGAGACAAAAAGAAGATTATCTAGAGTAGCTAGATTAGATAGATGGGGACCCTAATCCTAATCGTGAAGACAAAAGACTCTAAATGCCATCTGGAAGGTCATTGATGTGTCCCCCTGAAGCAGACTCATCCTTCTGTTTCCTTCCTTTTAGGTGATGAATCACTCTCCGTGATAAGTTTTATTGTCTTTCAATAGTGTGTAGTACTATATTATGGTTTATTATTCTTTTACAGTAAAATTACTATAATTATGTGATGAATATTTGATCTCAACTTGTTTTAGAGATGCAATAGATTTAGGACGCGTGGATATTTTACTACAAATTATAAAATTGAAAAAATAAGAGCCACAAGAGAATAAAGAAAAGACAAAATGGTGGGTGGGGCCAAATGCCACCATCCCATAACAAATTGGTGGTCGAGAAGTAGTTGAAAACAGCTCTCAAAATTTCTTTTGTGGCCATCATTTCAAGTTGCTTTTTTTTCCCTTACTCATATTCGGATTTAACTGAGATCTGAGTCACTATGTTAGATTTGCAAAAGATTTGTTCACTTATCTTTCTATTTTCTGCTTTCCATCGTGTTTAGATTTAGTTGGCAGGACAGGATTGTGTTCACTTTTGCATTCCTATGGCTTCAGTGTTTTACTGCTCACATGTTTCTTTTGCCTTCTTGTGTATAGTTTGCACACATGCAACGTTTGATACTATTGTGGCGCATTTATCTTACTTCACCCTTATCAATGGTTTACACTATTTTTTATTCTAAAATAAAATTATTCTATAATAGAGTTAAAGTTTACTTGAATAGTATTCTATTTTAGAGTAAGAAGTAGAGTGATGAACAAAAAAAATAAGTTACTCTATATTTAAAGTAAACATATTTTTCACTCTATTATAAAGTGAGAATAGAGTACCATTGAAACACTTTTACTCTAAATCTCTATTTTAGAGTGAAAGATAGAGTGAGATTAGAGATGCCCTTAACATATTTATCTTATATACATTCTACACATTCATCTGAATAAATATAAATCCATCTACACATATCTGAATTAGGTGCATTTAAAATTGTAATAGGTGAACCTTTTTTCTTTTTCTTTTTTCGAACACCTATAATAGGTGAACCTAGAAGAGTTCCTTTGTTCTTTCAATTCCTTTGATTTTCTAGTAAGACACGAGATGGATAGATAATATAGACAAGAATTAAGAAATCAGCTCCACATTTATTTTCATTCAAATTCTCAAGAAAATATTTAAAAGAGAAGTTAAAACCAAAAGAAGCTTAAAAAAAAAAAAACAAATCGAGTTTTCTGTGATTTATTGGAGTGATAAAAACATACATAGAAGAACCCGTCACAGTCAAATATTACAGAAACATAACAGAGGAGTGAAAACGAACAACAGTTTGATGAGGTGTTGTTTTTGTCTACACGTAGCAAAACCACATGCAGTGTTGCCTCTACTAACCTGATAAATAATAATATAAGAAAATCCCGGCTCTGATGAAGAAGAGACCGGACAAAAAAAGCAAAAGAAAGAATCACGCAGAAGAAGACAACATCTTCCTCATTCGGCTCTGGACTGACCAGCTCGGGAGGACAAGATGATACCAACGATGAGACCGTATAGAGCAAGAGCTTCAGCGAAAATGAGGATAAGAATCATACCAACGAAAAGCTTTGGCTGCTGAGCATTGGCCCTGATCACAAAAGAAAGTTGCTTATCACAAAAGGCACGTGCGATTAATTGACACTACATTTATTATTATAGATCTACAATCAATGAACTGCACATTAACCCCATCCAAATTTTCATCAAATTTATTCATGGCATGGAGGTAAAGGTAATAGTACCTGACACCAGCATCACCAACAATACCAATGGCCATTCCAGCAGAAAGACCAGCAAGACCACAAGCAAGACCAGAAGAAAGATGTGCATATCCATCAAAGAGGTAGTAAGATTTAGCCTTGGGGTTAATCCCAGTACTGATGATAACAGCAATAATCAAACCATAGATACCCAAAACACCAGCCATAACAACTGGGACAATAGACTTCATCACCAACTCTGGCCTCATCACACCCATAGACGCCACTCCCACACCACTCTTAGCTGTTCCATACGCAGCTCCCATACCTAGTCAAAAAGTCAACTCCGCCACGTCACACAAAGATGTTTTATTTTCCAAGGCAGATCGGTTAACTTATCTCACAACAGATCTAGCCTCAGTATCTCAAAAAAATAAAGAGACTTCCTAACAAGCCTTGTCTTTTTATTTGTCACGATCTAACAAGCCTTGTCTAAAGCAGATAGTTCTGTCCTAAAGTCAAAATCAAATCAAGACAGATCGGTTCCAAAGCACAAACGACTTTTGTTTTTTAAGACATCGTGAGAACAACAAGCACACACACATACACACAAGAGCAACGGAAATTTGAGAAACAGAACAGAGATGGTAAGAGAATTGACTTACAGGAGAAGACGAGGGCAGCGGCAGCGCCAAGGAAGCCGAAGAAAGGAGCGGTTTCATCGCCACTGAAGGTAGACATTTTTCCGACGATTCTGGATCTTAAAGATGGACGCCGATTGAATCTGATCTCCTCTCAGATTGAATTTTACGCGTTTAAGGACAAGGATTGATGATTGGTGAGAGTTTTTATATTACAAGAGCGGAGAAGCGCACACGTCGGAATCTAAATCCGGATCTTTCCGTATTCGACCCGGAATATGGGCTTTATTATTTGGGCCACCACTCGGCCCATGTTCTGGTAAAAAAAAATTAATCCGATAATATCCAAAATAACTTTTTATTACAGTAAGTGTGTTTTTTTGGAGAGAGTCTAACAGAAACGTTTGTGCACTGAACGGGTAATGAATGAATATAGACGATAATAACCTTCCTCCTTGTCTTTATTTAGAATATGAGAAAGAGGGTATATTTGTCAATGTTTGGTAAGTGTCTTCGAGCTCTTCTTCTTCTTACACTTGCCACACCTCTTTCTGCTCTCCCGAGCGTGTGAGATCCTTCTCGACTTCCGCTGTTTGTTTCTCCTGCGAAATCAGTAAGCTTTCGATCAAATTCGTTGATAAATTGTGTACCTACTTGATATATAATAGCTTAATTCGAACATAGATTGAGTTTCTAGGGTTCTCTTCTTCAATTTTTTTAATTTTCCCCTAATTTTGGCTTCTTCTGAGAGCTCTCAATTTTGAAATTCAAAGTATTTGATGGTTATATATCTTTTTTATAATCATTTTATTCCGTCATTTGATTGTTAATCGTTTAGATTTAATGGTATAATGGTCTTGGGAAAAATGTAAGTGGTGCAGTGTGGATTTTAAAAGTGAGGATTTGTGGTAATCATAGTCTCTGTGTCATTTGGTGGATATGACATAGTGTATCATTTGGTGGATATGACATAGTTTTTACTCTTGAGCCTAGTTTTCAGACAAACTAATCATCTCAAGCTGTTACATTTAAAACCTTTTTGTTTCTTTTCAAGTTTCAGAGGATGGATAATGGTGGGCAGTTTGATAATGGGCGGTATAAAGGGACACCACCTTCTATGGTAAGACCCAACACTTTTGATGAACATTATGTTTTTGTTTTAACTATTGGTTGCAAGACTAATCAGAACTTGTTTTTACAGTGGAATATAATGCCTCAGCATCAGATAAAAGAGCAACATAACGCCCTCGTCATGAATAAGAAGATCATGTCCATCCTTGCCGAGCGCGACGCTGCTCTCAAGGAAAGAAACGAAGCCTTAGCTGCCAAGAAAGAAGCTTTAACCGCTCGAGACGACGCACTTCAGCAACGTGACAAAGCTCTCTCCGAAAGAGACAATGCTATCATGGAGAGGGAAACTGCTTTAAACGCTCTTCAATACCCTGATAACAACTTAAACCACATTCTTCCATGTGCAAAGCGTGTTGTAACCGAAAGAAGAAGCCATCTACCAAACCCTTCCCCTATATCAACTATTCCCGCCAACAAGAAACCGACCACCAAAAGGAAAAAAGAGAGCAGAAAAGATCTGAACCTTCTGGCTGCTTCCCCTGGAAAGAAATGCAGAAAAGATTGGGACAGTAACGAAGTCGGTTTAAACCTAATCACGTTCGATGAGACTACAATGCCTGTGCCGATGTGCACTTGCACAGGGACTGCTCGTCAGTGTTACAAATGGGGAAGTGGAGGGTGGCAATCATCTTGCTGCACAACCACATTGTCTGAGTATCCTCTCCCGCAGATGCCAAACAAGAGGCATTCGAGGATGGGTGGTAGGAAGATGAGTGGGAACGTCTTCTCTAGGTTACTTAGCCGTTTAGCTGGTGAAGGGCATGACCTTTCCTCTCCTGTTGATCTCAAGGATTATTGGGCTAGGCATGGCACGAATCGTTACATCACTATCAAGTAACCAAGACTATTTTATATACAAGTATGTTTCTTCTCTTTAACAGCTAGGTTTCGAAAAAGAGTGAAGCTTAGAGGCTCATTATTGTTTTTTATTATTGTCCATAGTTTCCGTAATGCAAAAATGTTTAGTATTTGTCTTTGACTTGGTTTCGTAACTAATAAGCTTGTTTAGTGAATGATTTCAAATTGCAAAATATCTTCACTAAATCGTAACTGTTTCAGCAAAAAAATAGGAAGAATTTTTTTTATATATATAATCTTGCTGGACTAGTCAAACGGCTATAACAAGTTCTTGAGTCTCTCCTCTTTTTTAAATCAAGAAAAAAAACATGGTTCAAAAGCCAAAGACTGGTGAGGCTAGCCCATCACAGCATCCACCAAAGCAGTGGCTCAAGCGCAGCAGAGCATTCTTCGATGTACCTAATCCGAAAATCTTCACAATCTTTCTCATAAGTAGCTTTGCCACGTTTACCTCAGGCGTTGCTTTTGTTTTTGAATGGATATTTCATGGCAAGAACCATACCGGATTCCAATGGATCATTTACTACGGTTTGGCCCTAATCTTTCTTCCTATTCTCATCTTGCTCGGTCTTGGTATCGTCATTGCTGTTACAACCAGACATGAGTCAAGGCAGGTTGCTAGCTCGGTCGTGGAAGAAGAAGTAAATGTTGGTGATTCTGCCGGTAAGGGTGGCAATGAAGAAAATGATTATGATAAAAACTGTCAGAGTTTGGCTGTTGTGGTTGCTGAAGATGATAAAAATCGCAGTGGGAGGACACTGGAGCATAAAGCCTCGAAACTAAAACGCGCCGTTTCGTTCCCATTGCATAGTCAAGTTAGATCATGCCGAACTAGGTGAGTGTTCTAGTCATCATGGATCCATCCATTCTCCAAAGGTAAAATGTTTTCGTTAGTTTCGATGAGATTTATCCGCGCTTCTGGTAACCTTCATTTATGTAATGCGAGTCTTATAATAATTATTTTGAGAAACTTTCATTTATGTAATGCGAGTCTTATGATAATTATTTTGAAAAAATATAAACCAACATAAAATGGAGTCAGTTGTCATCTAACAGACGTACAAGAAACCAAATTGTAAATGTCAAGTTTAGCTTGTTTTAAATTAAAGATAAGTAGGGAGATGTTGTTTTGATCTATAATTTGAATACATAATAAAATACTATGGTTTAGCAAAGCCTAAAACAATTCTTTTTGTTCTGCTAATTTGTAAATAATTGAAAATTTTCGTCATGTTCGCTTCACATTCTACTCATGTGTGCATGCGTATATAGTCTCAATTCTCAAATGATTCCACTACATAGTTTTCACTTTTTTTTTGTATGGCCCTCTTTGTTGTTGAGGATTTTGGGGTCGATTAGTTATGGTTATAGTTTTAAAATTTTAGCTGTAGAAAAAATACTGGTTATATGGAAAGCTCAAAAAAATTGCTTTGAATATTTGGTTCTAGAAAACATTTGTTTAGCTGTAGATTATTTTAGGAGTTGTGGTTTTTACAAAATCATTAAAGTTTGATTGCTGTGAATTTGGTGCTTTAGAAATATATAATGCTTTGGAGAGCACCTACAATCATTACCAATCATACTCTTTATTTTTTTTTTAATTATTTTTTTTTTGCTATTTTTTCAAAGTTGTTGATCGTATTCAAAAGGAAGTTAATATTAGGTTGGATTAAATGTGCTTACCAAAGAGTATATTCTTTTATAGGAAAAAATAATATTCCAAAGTTCTGATGAGCGACCAATGGTTATGGCCGGATGTCGTGGCATTTGCAATTACCAAGTAATATCAAGTAACATGTACCAAATTAAATATTGTTACGTTAAGAAATAATCATATACCGATTTCTAGGTGCAGAAGATTGTACCACTGTATATACAAACCAGTAGTAGTCACTCAATTTTTTCAAAAAAGTTATTCAGGCTAATATAGATGGGTGTTGTTAGTTTTCTGTTAATTAATTGTAACAAGACCATTTCTTATATGATTAAGTCTTCATCCACGTGATTCACACCCTTAACTACGACTTCCCATTATCCAGTTCACACGCGGATCTATGACTATTTCTTTTAGAACAATCAATGTTATGAACAAATGAGCGTTTCTGTTTGTACATAATTCATAATCAGCGAACACTAGACTTTATATTAAAAGATATTTTCCTTAAATTCATCTTGAGTTGGGCCAAGTCTTGAATCCAAACACCAATCGCGGAGAAAAACTAATTTAGTATGTATAATAGTACTTGAATCGAAGAGTATTTCAGATTTTAACTGCAATTTTATCGGTTACCAGATTTAAAAATATGTCTTATTCGAATGCGATTGAGTTGTATATTGTTTTCCCACGTTAGCAATATTGAGTTGTATAATGTTTTCCCACGTTGGTTCATGTTTCCCACGTTATTCGGTTACCACGTTGGTTCATGTTATATTGAGTACTACTATTTTTTTGCACGGTGACTAAGAAAATACTAAAAACTCTAGAATCATATCATTGGTGATATGTAGATACTTAAATTAAAAATAGAGGGAGGTGGTTATAAGAGTTTAGTAATTGTGGTGTAGTGGGGCTCATGCAATTAAGGACATACGAATATCATCCTATTAATTGACGACTATACTTTATTAAAATGTTATAAATTATTTTGATTAAAAAAATTTTAAATTTGTATACTAACCAATCTCTTCGTTCATACACTGCATCACGAGACAATCTCTCAAAAAATTCCTAAAATGCAACAATTTGTTTATTTAAGAATTTTAATGTGCCCAGTAATACGTTTGAGCGTTCTTACTCCGACTTTGTGGTGGTGTAGACAAAATAATCCAGAAAGAATCTTTACATACTATTTTATCATACGGTATATAATATGAGTCAGAAATAGAAAAAATACAAAGAATGCTTTTAAAAAATGCGGACACACACATGAGATGAGTCCATGACATGCGAGGACAGAACCTTTCGCCTTAGCAAAAATAAGACAAATGTGGTCGGGAGTAGAAACACATCCATATTCATATCATCAGATTATATCTTTCACAAAATTATGTTATCTTCCATATATTACAAGAATCTAAAGATTTCATTAAATAAAACAATCTTCATCAGTTCGGCAAGAAAATAAAACAATAGTATCACAAAAGACAATGTATATGAAGATTACATAGAACTTTCTTAGAAATCTTAATATAATAATTACTTTTATGTTATCCACATCTAAAGCATATGGTAACTACATATTCGATACTTGATTATGCTCAGATTTTTTTCTAAAGAATTGACATAAACGACCACAAATAACATATGAAAAAGATTAGTAAGCTTTACATTGGGATAGAAGTAAGTGCATTGAATTAGAAAACAATATTGGTAAAATAAAATTCACGCGTCTTGGTGGGTGTTTATAATTTCCTTCCTTCCTATCCTTCACATGACATCCGTGTCTTCCTCTTCTTTTTTTTCTTTCCTCTCTTCCTCGTGCCAAAGAAAAAAAAAAGTCGTCCGAGTTTTTTATCTTATCGAGAAAAATAAATAAATAAATCAAAGGGAAGAGAAAATCGCGGAGGAAGAAAAAAAAAAGAAAGACAAATTGTCCTGAGATTTTCCAAGTTTCTAGAGAGAGAGAAAAAGGAAGTTTGTAAGAAAGAGAGAGAGAGAAAAGTTGTCTTTTTTTCTTTTTGTTTTACGTTGAATCGCCATTTACGCCATTGATTGATTCAAGCTTAAGTGCGTTGAAGCAAAAAGGTATCAATCAACTTACATTTCCTTCTTTCGAATTTTTAAGTTAAATTTTCATCATTTAAAGAGTTTTCTGGTGGTTATATTGTAGAGGTTTAGCAAAAATAAACAAAAAAAATGGGTGATACAGACACTGATATGATCCACACACTCCATTCATCATTTTCCACCACTTCAATCCCCAAACATCACTCTAATCACATCCAATTCTCAACTGACACTACCAGCACCAAACGACTCGGTGTCCCTCCTCCTTCTCCCTACTCTCAGATCCAAAACATCAACCCTGGAGGAGCAGCAGGAGCTACTCATTCCCGCTCAATGTCACAACCTTCCTCTTTCTTCTCCTTTGACTCCTTACCTCCCTTAAGCCCTTTCCGCGATCACAACAACAACAACAACAACCATTCTCCGTACACGAGATGTAACTCACTCGTTACCGGAGAGAGTTGTCTACCTCCAAGAAAGTCTCATAGACGCTCCAACAGTGATATCCCAATCTGTTTCCCTCCAATTTCCGGCGGGGAATCTCCAACTCCTTATGTCAAGAAGGAAGAAGCCATGGATGATGATCTCTTCTCAGCTTATATGAATCTTGAAACCATCGATGCCTTAAACTCTTCCGAAACTGCTGATGAGAACAATGTCAAGAACAACGGGAAAGATGAGAGTAGAGCAAGCGGAGGAACAAGTGATGATACAGAGGGAGATAGCAGTAGTGTCAATTACGAGAGTGGTGACAATACCTTGAAAAGAAGAGCAATAGGAGGAGGAGACATTGCTCCTACGACGAATAGACATTACAGAAGTGTTTCGGTTGATAGTTGTTTCATGGAGAAATTTTCTTTTGGTGAAGAGTCGTCACTAAAGCCTCCTCTTTCTCCTGGAACTGTGTCACGGAAAGTCTCTCCTACTAACTCTGTTGTTGATGGTGGTGCTGCTGCTTTTAGTATTGAGTTTAAGAACGGTGAGTTTACTGCAGCGGAGATGAAGAAGATTATGGCTAATGATAAATTAACTGAGATGGCCATGTCTGACCCTAAGCGTGTCAAAAGGTAAAATGTTTAAATATTGCGGCTCAAGTTAACGGTTTTTTAATCAAAAATCTTTTTTTTCTCAGGATATTGGCGAATCGTCAGTCTGCAGCGAGGTCAAAGGAGAGGAAGATGCGGTATATAGTTGAATTGGAACATAAAGTGCAGACTCTTCAGACTGAGGCTACTACATTGTCTGCTCAGTTCACGCTTTTGCAGGTGCCTTTGTCTACTTATGTTATATCAAAGCGTCTAGATTTTGTTTTTTTTTACCATCTTTAGTTACTGCGTTGATCTACAGAGAGATATGATGGGGTTGACAAACGAGAACAATGAGCTCAAGTTTCGTCTTCAAGCAATGGAGCAGCAAGCTCAGCTTCGCGATGGTATTGCATTTCTATTTGATATTTTAGTACTAACTTGAAGAAATCATCAATTACTAGTTCATGTATGCTTAGGGAATGTGAGAAAATTATTTGTTTTGCTTTCCGTGGCAGCTCTGAATGAAGCATTGAATGGGGAAGTCCAGAGACTGAAATTGGCAAATGGTGAGACCAGACACAACGAATCTGATAGATTAAAGATGAAATCACTTAACGCTGAGATGTTCCAGCAACTCCACATCAGCCAGTTAACACAGCAGCCACAGTCTCAGCACAGCCATAATGGAACCATGTCAGCAAAACCGGAATCAAATGAATTATAGAGCAGATAAGTTGTTGACTTGGTGGCTGGATCAAAGGGTTGGAGTCTTTGGTTTTCAAGTTACATATCAATTAATCAAATATTATATTTTTATTTATGTGCAGTCTGTTGAAATTTCATTATATCATATATATGGCGCAAGTTCAAAGAAATTTAATTTTACAGTATTTTATCTTGTAAATTTGTAATGGAGGCTCACGGGTTTGAGCTTGAGACAAAGAGATTCTCTGTTCGTTTTTATACCGTTTGGATTTTGTCTCTTTGTCGAATGTTAAGCATCTCCAAAAGACACTCTATAACTTCAAATATGAAGTTTTTATCTCTCCAAAAAGGAACTCTAAGAGCATCTCCAACCCCATTCAAAAACCCACTCCAAACTCCATTTTGCAGTAAAATCTTCTCCAACCCTACTCCAAAACTCACTCCAAAATGGAGTAACAAACATGATTACTCCAAATATGGAGTAAACCAACACATTACTCCAAAATGGAGTTGAACTTTTTTATTTATCAAATAGTCCTCCACATTTATATATGTTTCATTTTTAATAAAATATTATTATAAATAAGTACTATATATATTATAAAATTTACTGTTATATTTCTTAATTATATAAATAGCCTCATTTTTAATAAAATATTATTATAGATAAGTATATTAATATTATTTTACTNCATTACTCCAAAATGGAGTTGAACTTTTTTATTTATCAAATAGTCCTCCACATTTATATATGTTTCATTTTTAATAAAATATTATTATAAATAAGTACTATATATATTATAAAATTTACTGTTATATTTCTTAATTATATAAATAGCCTCATTTTTAATAAAATATTATTATAGATAAGTATATTAATATTATTTTACTGTATATTAGAAAATTTACTGTTAATATTTCTTAATTATATAAATAGCCTCGTCTTTAATAAAAATATTATTATAAATAAGTATATTAATATTATTTTACTATATATATTTTAAAATTTACTGTTAATATTTTTTAATTATATAAATAACCACCTGATGAACTCTTTTATACAACATAATATATATAATATAAAACATAAAAGATCATACATATAGAAAATGAAAGATAAGCACCATACAAAAGAAATAACATAAAATAAAACTTACAACAAATATAATTGCTTAATAATCCGATAAATCATTTTCGGATCCATTAGAATTATTAAAATATCCGATAAAATATTATTAAATACTTACATAACATGATAATAGAAGATGATTGTGATCTCGAGGTGCCAATTGAAGTTGAAAGAGAAGTCATGTCAAAGAAAATTGAAATTGAAGAAAATAATAATGTGAGGTTCCAAAAGTTTCTTTCCCATTTCAGAGAAATCAAAGATAAAGAAGCTCATTTTTTACTTCGAAATGCATTAGTTGATCATTTGTGGGAAAATTATTATAATTCTAATGAATAATTTAGAATTGATGTATTATTGTGTTTAAGCTATATAATGTAATTTTTAATGNTGATCATTTGTGGGAAAATTATTATAATTCTAATGAATAATTTAGAATTGATGTATTATTGTGTTTAAGCTATATAATGTAATTTTTAATGTATTAAATGTATTCTTTTAAAACCTTGTTGAGTAGTTTTATTTATATAATAAAAATTTAATTGTGGTTAATATTGTATTTAATAGAAATGCTATAAATTTAAAATGGATTATTTTGCAAATAGTATAAATGAAAGGTGATATTCCTAATTTTGAAATAAATATAATATTAAAAATATTATTTTGGAGTAGAAAATGGAGTAATACATTGGAGTAAAACTCAACTGCATTTTGGAGTTACTCTATTTTAGAGTAGAAAATGGAGTAATACATTGGAGATGCTCTAAAACTTCAAATTTGAAGTTCTGAGTAGTAAAACTTCAAATATAGAGTGTCACTATTCAAAACTTCAAATTTGAAGTTTCATATTTTATTTGCATTTTGATCCTTACAATTTCACATCATATTTATAATAATTTTCAATATTTTTATTTTTATCATGTTAATCCTTAAAAATTCTTATTTCATAAATAATTCAAAATTATTTTTCTAGATTTAAGTTTTATATATATTTTTTTAAAAAACATCAAGATAATCTTTAAAATATTTTAAAACTAGAACTAGATAACAACAATATTACATGCTATAATATGGTATTTTGTTTGTACTTTAATATTTAATTATATATTTCTATTTAGAGTTTTATATTTTAGTGTAACATTTTATCAAAAAATATGTTTATAATATTTTAATACATGATAGTTATTTAAAAAAGTTTTATGAATTTGAATTAGTTATGACAAATATAAGAACTATTTTATAAAATATAAATAATTTTAAAGTTAGGTTTGAAGTTTTACTTTTGGAATATAACACCTTCAAACCTCAAATATAGAGTTTTGCAAACTCTATAATAAAGAATCTTTTTGGAGATGCACTTAGCCTCTTATCTTTTCTATATCTGGAAACTGTAGTTATAAGGCCGGGCCTCATTTTAAGTCTGATAAAAAACATCCATAATTACTCTCACTTGCTTCTAAACTCATAGTCTATAACCCTTAAACCATAACTTAGGCTATGATCCCATCAACAACCACTATAAAGTGTTGTGCATCATCAGAGGAATGCCTCAGCTGGGAAACAGACGCGGTTTAGCTGAGGAGATGCTGGTTTTGACATTGGGATCATCAACTCATCAGGATTCATGGAGGAGGATGAATATTCCAGATAATATCATTCCTCATTATTCTCATGTAAGCGAGGAACTATGCATCAGTGGTATTATTGCCTTGTGGGTTCTACAAGATCCTCTGAAAGAGGAATGGTCCGAGAAAACGTTTGTTTTGCCTGCAGGCAAACATTTTGATAAGTTTCGAACCACTGACACTGACACGGGTGAAATTGTTTATACACCAATCTACGAGCATGCATCACAATCAGGTGCTGTCTATTTTGATCTCAAGAATGATAGTGTGAGAAATTTTAACATCGAAGGAATCACAGAAGAGTATATGCTTTGTCCATCGGACTCCGTTTCTGCTGGTCAGGTTGAGAATGTCATGTTTCTATAAGAGTTGGAGGAGAGAGGATCATCACTCATTCTTTCAGTTTCCCCTTCCTGTTCATTATCTTCAAACGATCTTTTGTTACTCAGTTAGCTGCTCTATCTGAGAAGTTCTCTCGATTTAAGTTTGTTAATGCTCATTAATCATTGTTTGAGTTTTATCTTTGTATTTCCGTTGCTTGGAGTTTACCAAATTTACATTACTTGTGCTCCATTGCCAACATGATCCTAACTTGCGGGCTGTAACTGGTAATGAATGACTCAACATTTCTTTGATAGCAGAGGAAAGTGGAGTTTTAATAACATCTCTGATCCATCTATGAGAAATCCAAAAAAAAATTATGAAGGAAGTTAGATAAGAACTTTGTTGAAGGAGTTTAACGAAGCTAACCCACATATAAGTGTTTCATTAAAAAAATAAATTATAAAAGTGTGTGGAAATCTCAAATATTGAGAACATCATTCAGAAGTATTTAAAAGTTTTTCTTAAGTGATATATTTTTGAATAAAATTCTCAACCTACGTATTTTTATATTTCTCTGGTGAGATATTCATATTTGAGAGTTCCTCAATAATGTTGCTCTTATGTTGTTTGATCATTATGATCAAACCACCATTTCCCTACTTTGGTTTGATAGAGTCATGGAGTTTATGTATAAATAATGTAACTTACTTATCTTTTGTGCACAAGGTTCAACACAAGAAAATGGCTGTGTAGAGATATTCATCAAAACAGGTAAAAACCATATACTTATATCCTGGCCTTCGGCTTCGCTTTGAGTAGCTTTTGCGCATTTATCTTGATCTTTGTGGGCTTAGCTCTTAGTGGATAGGCTTTTGGTCTTCTAAACAATTGTGTGTTCCTCTTGACTCGACTAATTCCACGGAACGTTCCTTTTTGTTAAGAGTAACAATTTTAGTAGTGATTCATCATTCAATCATTTCAACCGATGGTGAAGCCATGGTGGAAAATACTATGCTAATCAAAAAGAAAATACAAGAAATTAAAGTACGGATTAAATACTAGCTTAAAAAAAGGATAAATGCTAGCATGATTTAGCATGAGGTATGAAACAATAATTTATAATAGCATGATGTTTAATAAAATTCATTATTTGATTAAACATAAATTATGAAAACTAAATACAACATTATGTAGCTAGTTGGAAACACTTCTTGATCTTGGTAGGGACTCTGACTAATCGCTGCTTCTATTAATGTCTGCAATATCAAAGGGAAAAAGAACCACAAATTAAAAAGAGTAATTATATTATCAAAGATTCAAAAATAAAATAAAAGAAATTGATGTACCTGGTGAGGGCATTCAAGTGTGGGAAAATTATTGAATTTTTCACTATGGCGATTAATGATAGATTTATTTGGAAAGTGTTTAGATCCGACATTTTCCTTCTTTTGCTTCTTGCGTTTGTTATGCTCTTTGTGTTTTTCCTCTGGATCATCAGTATCTGTCTTAGAAGGCTTTGGATCAGCTATACTTGTCTTGGAAGTCTGAGCTAATGTTGTATTCTGAATCACATAACAGACCCAGTGAATAAACCAGTCGAGATCCAAAGATTATTTGGAAAATGTTTAGATCCGACTTTTTCCTCTTGCGCTCATGATGCTCCTCGGGTTTGTCATCTGGATCATCAGCACCTGTCTTGGAAGGCTCTGGCTCTAGTTCATCAGCACCTGTCTTGGAAGTCTCAGCTGATGCTTTATTCTAAGTCACATAAATAAAAACATTGTGAATAAACTAGTACGAGACCCAGAGCTTATTTGGAAATAGTTCAGATCCTACCATTTTCTTCTTAGTGTTTACGTATTCGTCTCGATTAACATACTCTGGGTTGTTTCAACCTAAAAACTAGAAAAACAGAAACAAGTCAAGTCATAGTGTGTAGAGAACATGAGCAAAGGAAATATGAAGAATCGTACTCCATAATTGGAATGTCAAAAAACAAATTACACTAACATCCTTCAACTTTTGAAAACTGCTACAGTTCTTTCAGAAATAAGGAGAAGTATAAAAGTCAAATGAATAAGCGTAATACATGTACTTTTAAAGCGATTGGTCCATTTTCTAGATAGTTAAAAAGGAACTACAAGACCAGACTGGCTCATTTTTTGTACAATAATGACTTGTTTAATTTCAAAAGAAAATCAATGAACCAAGTTGGCATCTAGAGAAAACAATCGAGGTTGTAAACAATCGAGGATTTTGAAGTTGTATTCCTTCTTAATTTGGTATGTGAAGAATCATTTTTTGTCATAATTCCTTTATGTAAAGAGTAAAAAGAGATTTACCTTTTTCAAAACAGTCTTTTCGTCTTCATTCTTCTCCTGCAACAAAGAGACATGTCGACATGTTAAAGGTCATGAATTTACTTTTAAAAGCATACACAAAACATCAAGTTAAAAGAATAATGATTTCCTACCTTCTTCACATAGTAATTCTTACCCAGCTGCAAAAGAGAAACATAGTTAATCTCAATGAATTAAATAGAAAAAAAGAATGAAGCTTCAAAAGTGATCATGAGTCACAACATGAATTTGTTTACTATTTCAGTTTGGAAGCATAATTTCGGTGTAGCCTTACAAACATCAATTTGGAAGACCATCAATTTCAGATGATTTCCCCTAATCTCCACCAATGCCTTGAGTATCGATGAATATATATACCCAAGTCTGTAGGAAAATAAAATGCGTAATCAATGAGATAAATTCATATTTTTCCACAAATTACAGATTTGAAAAAGAGCAATACCCTAGACAACCACCATTTTTAATATCTTCTACAACAAATATATTAAGAACTTTTCCTCGTGACTTGAATACATTATGAAGTTGTTTCTTGACATATTTTACCGTCAACTGGTTGCTAAACCCACTTGGAAGCACGATTTCTTGTCTATCACCAGAAATTATATATAAAACAATTGGTCGTTGAAGTTACAAACAAATACTTCTCCAAAAGATGGAAATAGTTACATGTTCCCATTCGGCTTAATATAAATTGTAACCCCTCACAATAGTTTTCCACACAATCTCATAGCTTGGAAACAATAACAAAAGCAATTTGTAAAATAAAGCACAAAGAAGTGTTAATTTTAGAATATTCAAAAGTTACCTCTTTTGTGTCTCGAAGAGACGTGAAAACAAAAACGCTCTGAGAGTCTTGGTTTTCGAAGCGATAAAAAACAACAAAATCGGATTGGTTCATTTGTTGTACACTAATAACTTGGTTGATTTCAAAACAAATGGCATCTAGAGAAAACAATCGAGGTGGCAAAAGATAAGACTAATATTTTATCAGCCATGTATTAATCTATCTACTAAATGGAAGTTTATGTAGGATTTTGAAGTTGTATTCTTTCTTAATTTGGCATGTGAAGAATCGTTTTATAAGCAAATTCGAGGTTAAAAGTTTCATAACATTACAAAAACTATAACAAATAGAAGACTGTAAAATTTCACCATCATGCATATATTATGTGCTTATACTTTTATTCAAATAATTACAAGTTTAGATCTGATATTCTTCTTATGCTTTACATATTCGTATGGATCATCAGACTCCACTGGCTATACGGTTGTTCCAGTCTAAAAATAACAAAATAGAAGAAAAAATACCATAATGTGGAGAGAAGAAATACATGAGAAAAGGAGGAGAAACTTACTTCAGAATCTTTATGCATCTTCCTCTTAGTGTCTATGGAGAAGAAGGATTGCTTGGTTTTGAGAAGGCAAAAACCATAAAACCCTTAAAACGGTTTACCTAAATAGGGAAACTGGATTAAAGCCATCATTTACCCCTATCTTTTGTGGCTTGTGTTTCCTTGGAAGCGAGTTTGGGCTTCAACAATTTGATAGACTTTTTAATGTTTTAGATTAGTAATGATAGAATATTTAGTTTTCAAAAAATTTGTTTTAACAACATTGATTAGAATGTGATTGATTACAATCGTAGTTTGTGTAATGCTATAAAAAGATTGGGGGGGGGTAATGAAATTCTACTCATTTGCTAAATATTACAAATTATTAATTAGTTAACTAGGATTCAATCTGTGTTTTAGTTAAAACGCAAGTAATATTTTTTTATGTATATTTTATCAAGTTAAGATAAATATTGTATGTTTTTTTCTTACGACAAAGGCTGTTCTGAAATTTAATTGAAACAAATTTTGTTAACGTATTATGGTTCAAATAAATTAGATGATAAGATAAACTAAATTAGATGATAAGATGTAAATGTTTATCGTGTATAGTCTAAAATTTAATTACTAACAATTTTTTTATATTTAATTAATTATTTTCTTTCTATTATGGATGTAGAATCAGTTAGAGTAATTGGGTTGTTATTATCATTACTAGGGATCGTTAACCCCCGCTGCGCGGGGGTTTGTGTTTGTTGTTTTGTTGTTCATTATGCTTGCCACAGGATAGAATGTGTAGTTTACATGTTTTATTTATGTTTGATGAATTATGTTTTACCGAGTCTTTGCCCCTTTTTCTCACACCCGAATTTAAAACTGAACTGGACTTGGTATCTTCAGTGAGTCACGGTCGGACCGGTTCAATCGGCCGATCCTATTCAGATTTCAAAACTACGGTTAGTAGCCCTGTTTGAAAACGTGGCTGTAGACGGCGATTATGCTGCCGAGAAATGCTCGACGGAGTTTAACCGCGGTAACTTCATACAAATCGGCATTGAGATTTTGAAAATTTATTAATTATAGAGATATAAATTTATAAAAGTTTCTTTATTTTGATTTCTTATTTTATAATATATTTCTTCTAAAATAAAATATTTGATTTTAGTATATAGTCATTAATTATTTTTTTGAAACTTAAAATTTATATTAATTTTATTATATTATTTGGCTTAAATGTGGTTTTAGATACAATATTACTAAATCTCATTAAAAATATATTAAGTGTCAAGAAAATATAAAACTAATTCCATTGTAAATATTAAATAAGCATATAATGATAGATTCTTATTTATATAAAATATTCATAAATATAAATTATTAATTTTTACTTTTAATGGGAGTATATATTTACATCAAAATTTCAAAAAAAAATATTATCTTATTTTTTTATCGATTTCTATCAAATTTTAAATCGATACAAGTGAAAACCGACAAAATTTATTAATTTATAGAGACTATTTATTTATAGAAGTGTTAATGTATATATAAAAATATTTCTTTGTCAGGGTCTGTTTTGGCAATCTATACATTTAAAATTAGCTATCAAATTATTTGTTTTTAATGTGTTGTTAAAAATAGTAAGAGAAAATGAAGAAATATAAAAATAATATACTTTTCACATTACCTCACTTGGTATACCGTTTAGTATATAATTTGCTACAAATTAACAAAGTAAAAATTTGTTGTAGCTGCAGATATCAATTGTATGTAAATGAGTGTAAAACAATGAACGTCAAATGGGAACTATAGCCTAAAGAATAAATAGCTAAATTAGTTTTTGTTTTTGAAAAATTGTATAGTTGAGAGAGTTACACAAAAAATGCAATAATCTCCAAACAGAACTATCAAAAGGAAGAACATATATAATTCAAATGAATCAGCCTGGAAAACAGTTTTTGTGCTTAGCTCCTTGAGAAGGATCTTGTACTTAGCACACGACAAGGAATGAAGCAACCTCGCTAGATCATCATGGCTTAGGTTCAGTTGAGTTAGGATATCGTTGTAACTCAGTTTATATGCTGTGTTGAACAGCAGAAGCACAGCACAACAGCCTGAAAGTAAATAAAACTTTAAAAAATCGGCATCAGAGGCCAATTACAGGTTCCAATATACCAACACTTTCTGAGAAACAAATGATACCTGGTAAGTAGACACAACTAACTCAATGGGCTTGTGATCCAACTTTCCGTTGAGGTGACAAGTTCCTAGTGAATAGATCCATGTAAGTTTCCTATGTTTCGTTTTCGTTTCATAAATAAAACCTTTTGAAAACTTCAACACACTTGACCTGAAAGAAAGAAATCGATGGATTAGCTTCACCTGGAGTAAACCTTTTTTCTTTTAGGCAGCATATATACAAACGATGAATAGATACTTACCATTTCACTGGGTAGATTTATGTCGAATAATTTGTACCTTGGCCAAAAACAGGTGGTAAGACCAGTTAAGGCCAAATCAATCCCTGGGTTTGCAGCGGGGTTATTGCTTAGATACTCCTCGAAACTGGTTTGGTTTTTCTCTTGCCAATGTCAAATCAGTCACCTGTAATCAGTAGACCAAATTTATATAGAGCATAAATTATCAGCGCAACCACCGTTCTGAGAGAATAAACATAGGGACACTGAAACTAACCATGCCCTCCATCTTAGAAGTAAAATGCACACTCAAAATCATCAGTCTCTTGCTCTTTCTCATCTCCTTCCAAAGCATCATCAATAGCATCTCCCATGACCTCAGAGACCATCTCCATTTTCTCCTTCTGCCTCTCAAATTCTTGCATGTTTTTTCGAAATTCACCTGCCTGTTCATTTGAC